ACTGATGGGACAAAAGGGTTCTCGAGATGCAGCCTCGTACCGGTAAGCGAAGTGCAAGTCGATGGATGCAGGTGGCTCAAGAACGTGTTTCATGGCATTTCTTGTGGGAAGCATATGTTCATTAGTGGATTTGTAAAGTAGAGTTACAGCTTATATACGTCCCACTGCTGAGCACAGGCCTCCTCTCACTCCTGAGAGGATTTTAGGGCAAAGAAGTTTCCACTGCACTGCCTCAATGCATGTAGGCGGACGTCACATCTCTTCAAAAAATATTTTTTTCTCCGACATCCGGGTTTTCTCACGATATTCTTCACCGTCAAGCACGTGCTAAATCAGCACTTAAAATTGCAATTAACAATTTCATTGGTGTCGTCGGGGAACGCACCCGGGTTGCTCGCGTACTGTGAAATATACAGCGAGTGCCCTGAGCTACCACGACACTTGCGAAGTGGCATTGTGAAAGATTGTAATGATTATGATGATAACAAATATTGGCTAATTGTCTAATAATGACAATCTTTTTATTATTGTTTGCAGAAAGACGATATCGACACTAGGATCGAGTTTATAAGTGAATATGTAATGAAAACGTTGAAAATTAAGTTTGAAAAATGGACGAAATTTATTACTGGAGATGAAAGGGTTTGGATCTTACATGCAGTTTTATTGATTTGTTGTTTTGTTAAACTTTATTTTGTTGAGTTGGATATCGTGTAGTTTGTTTTGTTTTTCCTCTTATCATTCATCTATTATTTATTACTGCTAAATATACCGCTTTATCGTATATTTATTTTTCGTATAATTTAAATGAAATAAAGACACCGTATCTTACGCTACTGCACGCATAGCGTGTGGAGTATGTAGCTCCACACGCTGTGCGCAGACATGGATATCCTTGTACTGCTATCTTTTTTTTATAAAATAAGGGCGACAAACGAGCTTACAGTCCATTCCACCTGAGAGTAAGTGAATGCTGTGGCCCATAGATGTGTCTATTTCTTGATGAATAGCGGTATTTGTTGGGCACCTGAGTGATAGCGAAGACCTGGATATCCTTGTACTGATATCTTTTTTTTATAAAATAAGGGTGACAAACGAGCTTACAGTCCATTCCACCTGAGAGTAAGTGAATGCTGTGGCCCATAGATGTGTCTATTTCTTGATGAATAGCGGTATTTGTAGGGCACCTGAGTGATAGCGAAGACCTGGATATCCTTGTACTGATATCTTTTTTTTATAAAATAAGGGTGACAAACGAGCTTACAGTCTATTCCACCTGAGAGTAAGTGAATGCTGTGGCCCATAGATGTATCTATTTCTTGATGAATAGCGGTATTTGTTGGGCACCTGAGTGATAGCGAAGACCTGGATATCCTTGTACTGCTATCTTTTTTTTTATAAAATAAGGGTGACAAACGAGCATACAGCCCATTCCACCTAAGAGTAAGTGAATGCTGTGGCCCATAGATGTGTCTATTTCTTGATGAATAGCGGTATTTGTTGGGCACCTGAGTGATAGCGAAGACCTGGATATCCTTGTACTGCTATCTTTTTTTTTTATAAAATAAGGGTGACAAACGAGCATACAGCCCATTCCACCTAAGAGTAAGTGAATGCTGTGGCCCATAGATGTGTCTATTTCTTGATGAATAGCGGTATTTGTTGGGCACCTGAGTGATAGCGAAGACCTGGATATCCTTGTACTGCTATCTTTTTTTTATAAAATAAGGGTGACAAACGAGCATACAGCCCATTCCACCTAAGAGTAAGTGAATGCTGTGGCCCATAGATGTGTCTATTTCTTGATGAATAGCGGTATTTGTTGGGCACCTGAGTGATAGCGAAGACCTGGATATCCTTGTACTGCTATCTTTTTTTTATAAAATAAGGGCGACAAACGAGCTTACAGTCCATTCCACCTGAGAGTAAGTGAATGCTGTGGCCCATAGATGTGTCTATTTCTTGATGAATAGCGGTATTTGTTGGGCACCTGAGTGATAGCGAAGACCTGGATATCCTTGTACTGCTATCTTTTTTTTTATAAAATAAGGGTGACAAACGAGCTTACAGTCCATTCCACCTAAGAGTAAGTGAATGCTGTGGCCCATAGATGTGTCTATTTCTTGATGAATAGCGGTATTTGTTGGGCACCTGAGTGATAGCGAAGACCTGGATATCCTTGTACTGCTATCTTTTTTTTATAAAATAAGGGTGACAAACGAGCATACAGCCCATTCCACCTAAGAGTAAGTGAATGCTGTGGCCCATAGATGTGTCTATTTCTTGATGAATAGCGGTATTTGTTGGGCACCTGAGTGATAGCGAAGACCTGGATATCCTTGTACTGCTATCTTTTTTTTTATAAAATAAGGGTGACAAACGAGCATACAGCCCATTCCACCTAAGAGTAAGTGAATGCTGTGGCCCATAGATGTGTCTATTTCTTGATGAATAGCGGTATTTGTTGGGCACCTGAGTGATAGCGAAGACCTGGATATCCTTGTACTGCTATCTTTTTTTTATAAAATAAGGGTGACAAACGAGCATACAGCCCATTCCACCTAAGAGTAAGTGAATGCTGTGGCCCATAGATGTGTCTATTTCTTGATGAATAGCGGTATTTGTTGGGCACCTGAGTGATAGCGAAGACCTGGATATCCTTGTACTGCTATCTTTTTTTTTATAAAATAAGGGTGACAAACGAGCTTACAGTCCATTCCACCTGAGAGTAAGTGATTGCTGTGGCCCATAGATGTGTCTATTTCTTGATGAATAGCGGTATTTGTTGGGCACCTGAGTGATAGCGAAGACCTGGATATCCTTGTACTGCTATCTTTTTTTTATAAAATAAGGGTGACAAACGAGCTTACAGTCCATTCCACCTGAGAGTAAGTGAATGCTGTGGCCCATAGATGTGTCTATTTCTTGATGAATAGCGGTATTTGTTGGGCACCTGAGTAATAGCGAGCATCGCGCGTCGTCGGGGTTAGTTTGGCATTTGGAATCGGACTGAATATATCCTACTACTACACAGGAAATCTTATCATGACATTTTATACGTGACTGTTAAAGGTTCTTATGATATTTTTTCAGCACATGTTATCCAGATTCTTCGATATGCCTAAATACGACATATTAGTATTTCGAATGACCACAGCAGGCCTGCTTACATGCGCCACTCACTTTCCTCCCATAAGCAGGGGAAAAATGGTGTATTTTCTAAGAAATACAAACCAGAAAATAACTAAGGCTAATTTGCGCGAGGTAATTTTAATCACACATTTATTCGTAACAGTGTATTTACTGTTTAACATAGTCCTCCCCATACAATGCTTGATATTGGGCATATTTGTCTCAGTTGATGTGCTTGGTAGGCGGCATCCGCAGTGTTGTTCTTATTTATTTATTTAACAATTTATGTACCACACAAAGTAATATTACAATGAAAAAAAAATATTTTGTGTTTCTTCTTCTTGTTGAAGAATTAATAAGAAGACTCTGCTGCCCATCTCCGTGCTTGTTTCCATCTTTCTCCTCTCACGACACATTCTACGGCCTGATGGCGCAGTGGCTTAGCAATGAGTTGCGACGCTGAGGGCCGCGGGTTCGAATCCCGCTCGGAACAGGTATTTGTTTGGCCTACACATAGTTGTTCCGGGTTTGGATGTTTTTCCTTGTGCAATTTATGTTTGTAAGCTGCCTGGAAAAATGATAGTATAAAATATATGTTTTTTATTGTCATACATTTTACGTTTCAAACAATACATGTTAATATTATATAATAAATAAACATTATAAATATAAAACATAGATAAAAAAATTGTAGTAATAGAACTATGAATAGGGAAGGAAACTAGCCCCTGAAATACAGGTATTATATCCTAGTTTATGGGCTAATGACCACAGTAAATTTTGTGCATGTAATATGTTTATCAACAAAGATTATTTTTATTATTATAACTAAGTATTAATAATAACGTTATTTTTTAAATATTAGTAATATTCAAAAAATAATGCTTTATTAAATTTGGATTACCAAAAATATAGCTTTAAAATTGAAAAACAAGGTAATTGGAATAGATTATATTATGCCTTTCCGACAAAGCTGTGGAGAGCCAGAGCCAGAGTTAGAGCTGTCACGAAAGTAATCAAAAAATATTTTGTTATCAAGAAGTTTCTATTCGCGTTTTCCGCACAAGTTTTGAAATATCTACATCTATAATGTGACATCTATTTAATTAATAACATTGAACTCACTACAGCCTATCAGAAGTCCACTGCTGATCTTAAGCCACCACCATAGATTTTCTGATATTTGACGGAAAGTTGCCCTAATAGCCACGCTTGGCTTGCGGAGAGGCAATCGCAGTTTTTGGATCGTGAAGTACCGATACGCGGTGCGAGTATTTTCAAAAATGCTATCTGTTTCACATAGCTCGCTCTGTATCGCCGTCGTCGTGAGATAGAGAGAGTTGCAAATGTTAGAAGTGATTGCTTACATTTTATTTTTAAAAAATTGCTTAGAGCGATAATATTTTCACCTCCCTAAGCCTTTACGAAATGAGACAATTTGGTTTCATTAGATTCAGTATACCTTAATTTAGGTCTGTACTTTTTTATTTTTTTAGTTATTCAGTTTAGTTTGATTAAAAAAAATGAAAACGCTCGCGAAAGTTTTTAAGTCAAAAATATAGATATTTAGATGCTAATAACTTATATCGTACGCAATATTTCCTAATAAAAACGTATGGACCTAGTTCTTCATTATATCTACATTTGCAAAAATTATAAAAATTAGACAATGTTTACGGGAGGGGAGACGTTATCGCTTTTTGTATGAAAATTTACAGCTTCATTATCCTCTGAAGTTCTTATGAAGAAGACGCTGCTGATCAACTCCTGTTGCAGTTTCGTTCCGTGGACTTTATGATCGCGCGATGATATGGGATAATGTTTAATTAATAACTAAAATATATTTGTAGATTTTGACAATTGGCGAAATGTCAGGAAATGTGCTTATGGATCTTAGTGTTATGGCAGATGATGTAATAGGTCCCATGCTTTGTAATCCTGAAAACCAGAAAGGGTGGCCAAAAATTGTACAGCGAGATATGAGAAGGCATGTGAACGATCTCAGGAATCTAATGCATCAAGTAGGTGTCGTCATTAAAGCTAAAGACTATTGTAATAATTTCTTTGCATCCATTTAGTTTATAGCATCTTTTAGTGACTGCGTAGGTGACAGTGAAAGCGATAAGTAATTTTATTTTTATTTTTAACTGAATAAAGCTACTGCGAAAGACTTCTTTAGTGATAATTAAGCAGTGACGTACGATCCAACGTCGTATAAGCGAGAGGATGACGGCGGCTCGAAGCCAGGTTTTACCTCCATCTGAAATCTCTCAGTACATTACTTACTAGAGTACTACGGGGGGAGATTAAGCTCGGAAAAAGAAGACCGAACCTTACCTTTTCTATACCTTTTCTACACGCATAACATTAAGCTTTCCGCCTTAAGTCCGGTTGTTATTATTATGCAGTCCTTATTATTTTTCGAAATGAACTCTATGCATCATTACATTCGATGGAACATAGGTACTTTTCGTGTCTTCTACGGTCTTTTCGACCGAAATCATACATTTTTAGGGTTGGTAAAGTAAATATTTCGAAGTTCCACTATGAGTTGTTTATATATGTATAAGTAAGGTAATAATAACTGGTCACTGTAGCCCATATACATCTACATCTATCCACGAATAAGAATCAAAATGGAAATCATTTGTCACCTCAGAGGACTTTCTATCTACTGACATCTAAATATTCAAGCTCGGCCTTTTACTGGTACTCTCATTGGTACCTATCATACATTTCACGGCACTGAAGTTACCGTTGAAACTACGCCTTTACGTAGATCATAAGTGAAATTGCTTGCACAAGATGAGGCTCTTGATAAAGGATTAATAAAAGCCTTTCGTAGTATTGTTCACTAAGACCGCAACGAATTTCGTAATAAATAATGGAGCGAATATTTTTAACGCAGAATTTTCACTTGTCAGAATAGTCTCAAATGGACTATGGACCTAGAAAAAAGGGCGGACTGAGTCTCGTTAAGAAACAATAGACGCACCGCAATGGCGGCCGTTTAACTATGTGTGAGTAACTACGCGAGCGCGGATTGGAGCGTAATGGCGGGCGGTAGACTTACTATGGTGTGCATGTGTGCGTGCCGGCTTGTTTGTATTAGCGAACTGACTTACTATGGGTGTCAGTAATTGTTTTAAGAGACGGCGTTCGCCCTTTTTTCTAGGTCCATGTGTGTAGAGTGGATTTCACATGAACCACTCCAATACGACTTACACAAAGCTGATTGACATCTGGAATTCTAACCTTGTCTGGGTTAGAATTCCAGATGTCAATCATTCAAAAAAGTTACAAAAATGAAATATGAACGGGTAGTAGACAGAAACAACAATAACTGCGTATAGTATCGCAGAAAGAGACACAAAATCACGCAATAACACAAACAAGGAAACTGCATGAAGTTAATGAAAGGCCTTGATTGTATAGCTTTCTCTATGTTTGATCTATTACGTAATGAACTTCATAAATTGAATAAAATGATCTCCTTATTGTGTTGTAAAATGCACTCTAACTCACTCCGTTAGTTGAGAATCATTTTTAACAAGGTTATCCGCAGTAGAATAAAAATCCATTCTTAAAGCCGAATGCATTTTTTAAATAAGTAATAGCAACCCTAAATTTAATGTCAGAGCAAAAATGCTTGTGTAAAGAGTGGTTCACGATAGTAATGAGTTCGCGGTCCGCAACCTTCCATTAGGCTACCTACTGTCGCTTCATTCATTCATGTCGCATTAGTAAATTTGAAGTAGCAACCTATCGGGAAAAACGGTTCTCAAGTGGCAAACATAGTCAAATAGGTTATAATGGATGACCTTTTTTACCGTCTGGAAAAAAAGGGCGTAACACATTGAAGTAATATGTACTTACGTACTAAAACAGCTTTTTCAAACAAAAAAATATAAGAATACATTATGGTATTTTAGTTTAGTATTATTACGATACTACATATTCATATTCATTTACTATGAAACAATGGTACAATTAGGAAAATTATGCTACTAAATCCGACCCTGGTTACGACGTTTTATGATATGACGTTTGTATTATGACAGATGCGCTACTTTTTCTTCTGTGAAAAAGTTGCAGTAAAATATTTAGATGGGCCTATCCTTCCTTTTAAAATCATTGCTAGCGAGTGATTGATTAAATTGTGGCGTAAGCACCGCAGTTGAATGTAACAGAGTAGCTGAATGCAGAGTCGCCTCTAGTACTCTAGCTATATAATGGTGTAACACGTGAACGGAGTGGAAGCCTGTAGCAGTCATATTTTATAAAAAATAAAAACAAAAATTTTGAATTAAGCGTTTGAAAATTTTTTTTAACAATTGCTTTGCCCTTGCCCTAGAGCCTGTGACCCTGCGAAGTGACAAGGTCAAAGATGCCAAAATTTATTGTTTTACTGCCGTTCGTAAAGTAGGGATATGATTTGAATTTTGATAGACTTTGATTAATTAATTTAATAAAAAAATTTTTTTATTTTTTTGTATAAAAAAGGTCATCCAGCATAGGTATTGGCTGATGAATTTTATACTTTGTGATCAGATTTTAAATAAATATAAGTATTGTATTTGTAACAGTCAAACAGTCTCTGATTTTACCTTTGATGTACATATCAAAGGTAAAATCAGAGACTGTTACTCTACTACTCTACTGCTTTTTTAGCTCAAAGGGGAGATGTCTAGCCAGGTCATGTTGCCCATGCCAGCCGGGGTGGAGAACATTTATTATGCAGAAACAAGAATTAAGGAAAGGTAAACTAGGAATATCACATTACTAAATCATAATCTTACTATCAGAAAAAGTACTTTAATTACACACGAATGTAAATTATTATATTGTTTATGTACAAATTAAAGACGAGTATCTGATGAGTCGTTTAAAATATCATAGTGAACGAGCATTCCTTTATCCGAGCCGTAATCAATTAAATAAATATCTATTATGGACGCCACACACGGTCAGTTCAACTGATCATTCCAACTGATCAGTTCAAACTAAAACTGTTGATATTTTTTAAATTATCGGATTTTCCATATATCTATGATTATAAATATATATATATTAATATCAGAGTTTTACATATAAGTTTATTTATGGATATATCGAATGCGATATTTTAAAAAATATCAACAGTTTTAGGTTGAACTGATCAGTTGGAATGATCGATTAAACTGAACGTGTGTGGGCATCATTGCAGTCCAAATAGATATCTGTTTATTCCACTGATGAACATAGGCCTCACCAATAGATTGCCTCATGGTGAGGATTTTGCTATAATTGCCACGTTTAGCAGACGGCGTGGCAACCACAGTTTTTTTTTTCATTATTTTGAGTTGTTATCTGAATTACATATATGGCAATCCGGAAGGATTCTGCTGCCCACTTCTTGCTTATGTTTCCCTTTGTCGCCTCTTACGAAACCCCGGGGCGCGAGTGACGGATATTCTTACACCGCCATTACATGATACCTATGTGTAGTGGTGGTGTAATTAATAGATAATTTTCAACCAAAAAAAATCTAATATTATTGACAAATTTCTAGTTTGAGTCAAGTACGTATGCCAATAATAGAAGTCTCCCCAATTAAACGCATATCTGGTAAAATATTTTTTTAAAAGAATATTAACAATGCTCTAAACAATACTAATATTCCCCTTAACCACTCGTGGTGATAAGCTCACTAAGCATTGCTTGTGTTACGAGTGGTTCACGCCAGTAGTCGAGTGGCGGATTCGAACCCTTCTTTTTGTTGCGCCGGCTGCATTAGGCTACTGTCGCTTAAACGAATTGAAATAATTGCAGTCTACAGCTTACAGCTAACATGTATATTTCTACTGGTTATTTATATCTCGAAATATTTTAACTAACATACGAGTGACAATATTTTAGTGACGGTGAAGACGTCGACTTATTTTTAAAGACGAATATCGAGGGCGCTGTTATAAAATGGGCTCAGCAAGTTCACGATCTGTTGCAAGAGGATTCATATATAGGTAATAATTCGTTGCCAAACAATCAAAAAATTTTTAGTGTAAAGGTTAAAATAACATAAACACTCACACCTCTGACTACGGACTTCCATTTGGCACGACCCAGACACATCTCTCTTGCCTCCTTTACATCCATATATCTACGCATACGAGGACACGCTCATCGGTTGAGAGTACTCCTAATCTTATCCATTTACCATATATCGCCAATTTGGTCGATAAAACTTCGTCTAGGGCGTCCCTTCCCGACTCCACCGTTCACATCTGCAATATAAATTTGCTTTGTCACTCTTTACTCGTTCCTTTTTAATACGTGACTTCATCAAAGTATTCTTTTCTTAACCCTGGTCAAAACATCATCTTACAAACCACAATTTTCTCTTGTTTCACAATTTCTCACTCTGTCATTGAGATTCAGCCGTTTAGACCGTGTTTCTACGGCATTTATTATACTCTCGTGCTTCTTCTGCCACACCCAACTTTCGCTACCATCCGTCAAAGTAGGGACTAACACAGCATTATGAATTGCCATACGTGTCTTATTTTGACACATTCTGACCTTCCATCTCCTCATTCACTCTTTTCAGTGTTCACTCGTCATTCTGTATTCTTATCATATCTACTATCCCTGCTAAAAATACACATCCCAAATACATCAATCCCAAGTACAAAAGGCATTTGACGGATAAACGTTGAGAATGGGTAAGATTCTTAACCCCACATTTTTCACAACCACGGGCAAGCTACACAGCCCTGTCTGACACCTTTTTGGATGCAAAACCAGTCCGAGTAGACTCCGTTGATCCTGACATAAGTAAGACCTATAAAGAGACCTTAATGCCTGTATCAAAACAGAGATCAAACCAAATGAGTTCAGTGTTTGCCATAACACATTCCTATCCATTCTGTCATAAGCCTATTTCAAGTACATGAAAGTACAAAAAACTTTCTGGTTTTTGGCCAAAAACTTCTCCGAAATCATGCGCATCGAAAAGACTGTAACTGTAAAACTGTTCTTACAAGTGTAACTATCGTTTTAACGACAACTACGAAGTGGTGAGATGCTTAATTAATTACCTCACCATGGGTTAATTGATGTGGCCAATATATTTGTTAAAAAAAACTACGTGTTTATAGTAGAAGTGTATGAAGGACAAAAAATTGCAAAAAGTTAAAAAGTAGTAAGCGGGCTGTAAATATATCATCATCATCATCATTACAGCCCTTCACAAGTCCACTACTGAACATAGGCCTCCCCCAAGTAATGCCACAAAGCACGGTCCTGAGCCACCTGCATCCATCGACTTCCTGCATATCTTACTAGGTCGTCACTCCATCTAGTGGGGGAGTCGCCCTACACTACGCCTACCGGTACGACGCTGCCACTCGAGAACCTTCCTTCCCCATCGGTTATCGGTTCTTCGAGCTTTATGGCTGGCCCATTGCCACTTCAGCTTACTAATCCGTTGGGCTATGTCGGTCACTCTGGTTTTCGGATATCCTCATTTCTATCACGCAGAGAAACTCTGAGCATAGCCCTTTCCATAGCTTGCTGAGCAACCTTGAGCGTCCTCATACGGCCAGCAGCACTGCTGGCTGTAAATATATATTAAAAGAAATTATCCGGTCGGCTGCCTTGGAGCAGTTTAGTTTAGACTTATTCATTTCCTGAGAGCGAATGTTTTTCGGTTCATTCCGTCAATTCACCTGATGGTAAGTGATTACCACCGCCCATGAACAGCTGCAACACCAGGGGGATTGCAGATGCGTTGTCGGCCTTTTGAAAAGGAATAGGCACTTTTCTTGAAGGTCCCTAAGTCGTATCGGTCCGGAAAATCCTCTGGTGGTAGTTGATTCCACAAGGAAGTTGTGCGAGGAAGAAAACTTCAAATGTATTATATTACGATTTCAGCATTTAAAAGAACAAAATTTCCATTACCAAGTGCTGATATAGAGTTTTATGCTCACCGGCTTCGCAATCTTGAGGGTATTTACTCGCAGTTGCGTGACCCGCGCGTCAAACGTATGGCGCATTATCTGGAGGATACAAAGAGCGTCTACTTGAACTGCTTCAAAAGCATGCTCACCAACGTAGTTGCAGGTGGGAGAAAGTTCTAAATATATGCTGGATGACCTTATTTACCGTATGTAAAAAAATAGGGTGTGACAAGTGAACGGAGTGGAAGCATACGGCACTGATATTTTACAAAAAATATTCTAATTAAACTTATGAAAATTAATAACTACTTTTCCCTTTGCTCTTGAGCCTGTGACCGTTCACTTGTCACACCCTATTTTTCTTAGGCTTCTACTCCGTACACATGTTACACACACACACACACACACACATATATATATATATACATATATATATATATATATATATATATTTATTTATATATATATATATATATATATATATATATATATATATATATATATATATATATATATCATCCCGTGGGTGTACTGTGGTTGCCAATTCACTCGCCAAGCGTGGCAACTATTGCATTTGCCATTTGATGGGCTGTATGAATGAATGAATATTGAATGAGAATGCGGGTGAGCCCAAAATTTTCATTCAACATTCATTATATTAGTTATAAAGATTTTCTGTCAAGAAATTTTCAGTAGCAGGGCGGTGTCCACCTTGGAAAGCTTGTCTGTTCTCTCTTCGGTCGCGTTGGATTGCCGTCCCATCGGACCATGTGATTGAGAAATGAATATGCTTGCGCACTCACTCGTGCACTATAACCCTGTCCTGCGCAATTGGCTAGTTTCCATTGAGACTGGCCGCTGTAACCGAAATTCGCTCTGGGAGATATTGTTATTATTTTATAATGTAATGAGCTGCGTATGTTCCTATCATATCTATATGTAACGGCTAATAGCCGAAGTGCGGTTACACCTAGTTCTAGCCGGTTAGAACTAGGTGCGGCCGGCAGTATGTTACGGCTAACAGCCGAAGTGTGGATACACCTAGATGTGGCCGGCTAACACAAAGTGTAGTCGATTGCGGTAGATGTATCATACATAATTTATAAATTAAACACATGTCTGCGGTTTTAAGGTGGCCCAAGGGCCACCTCGACCGCAACCTACTGCTACTTGAAAGGTTTTTCTGTATTTTTTTTACAAATTTAACAGGGGGCAGGGCAGGTTATTTGGGTTATTTTTGTCTGCCTGATTGTGATGAAACTTCACTTATGACATTGATGAACAATTTTAGGAGCGGTATAAATTATATTTTTTCCAAAAACAGTAAGAATAGTTTTTAATTTTATAGTTATTTAAAAAAATCTAAATGAGACTGCATTTATAGGTTATGCAGTCTCATTTAGATATTACATAAATTAAATTACACGCAAGTTATTATATAAATTAAACAGCAAAGTAGCATTAAATGTAATTTTTATTGAAAAATAACTTACAGCTATAGTAGAATGCCGTGACATATATGTATATCAGAAGCCCCTTGTACAACATTTCGAAACATACGAGGGCACTGATTTTCTTGATTCAAAGCCGTTTATTAGGCCGATGTTTCACTGCATCGGTCTTCTGTGGGGCAACTCTAGGTACTATTGCAGTGTCGAGAAACTAATACGTAAGTAAAATGAACATAGATTTTCATCTTTCAAGCCATTAGTGTATCATCAACAACATTGTTTTATTCTGCCGTGTGGTGATGGCGTACGAAAATTCATCACGGCCAATCATGTGCGGTCGTCAATGGAAATTACGGGAAATGCCCGAAAAATCTCAAAGATCTCCAATAGATGGCAGTATAAACATCTCGTATATACCCGATGTAAAAATCATTTTGCCAGACAGACCAATATTCTGTTGTGAATGCTTCACAACAGAATATTGCTCTGTATTGTAAAAGTTACCAAGGTAATTTTCAGAAAAATCTTGTAGCATCCACTGAAAACTCCGTGTTGAAATTTTCCAGACAATTGATTGGAAATATAAATAATTGATACTTAAATAACCAGTAATCTATTCTCGTTGACCATTAATAAATAAAAAATAAATTTTGCTCTTGAGAAGAAGAGAATAGAAATAGGTATTGCTTTGCGGAAATTGATTAAAAATAAATAATTCTAAACGAAATATTACAAATAACTAGCTAAGATCTACGTGAAAAACAAAATGGCTTCCTACCTCTCAGTTGAACTCCCACTCCCACTCTCTCCTGGAGTTGAAAAGGCAGCAAGAGGTGCTCTTCAAACACATCATGTTTTGCTTGCTTACTTTTATATACAGATTGTTTGGAAGATGGGTGCAAAGCCTGGACACTATTAGCAATTAAATTAAAAAAAGGGTTTTATTGTTTAAAACCATAGAAATTCAATGAAAAGGAGCAGACTTCGTTTATGCTTAGCTTAATATGTTCTAAATGGTTTAAGGTATCATCCCCTTCAGGCTTTGCACCCATCATAAATATTTAAGTGAGTATATATATTTAAATCTCTTTGGCACCCATCTTCCAAACAACCGGTACTGTTTAAACTGTCTTATTTTTCATGTGGGTCTTAGCTTTTCATCTTTAATAATTTGATGCACGTTCAAATATCGAAGAATTCTAATCTCATGTCAATTTAAATTCAAAGCGTCTTTACAGCATTGTTGCGGGAAGTGTGCAACCTACTAATCCAGCAGTGTACAAATGCTATCGACCCCATATCCATTTTCCAAGGGGACCCTGACGAACAGTTGTCAAAAATTAAAAAAGCGCTGGATATTTTGAATCATTTTGTGTAAGTTTAATTCAAAAAATAATCTTCTTTTGATTTTTTACAACAGCTGTACTATATTATATATGTATGTATAGTATAGGATGTATGTATAGTATAGCACTTACTTCCATGTATCTATACAATCACTATTAAAAGTAATGTAATACTAACAAGCCATAAAATATATACAGTTTCATCTTAACTTCTGTAGTTTGCGATCGCATTGAGGTCTATTTTAATTACCTAATCGAATTTAGTGATAAGCAGAGAAAGACCAAGATCAAGACAGTCTTGGTATCGGTCTCGGTGTTGCTTGTCCGGTCTTGGTGTTGGTCCTGCTCTAATACCTATCTTTGTCATGGTCTTGCTCATTCAGTCTGTTACTTACTACTTATGTCGTTTTGAAAAATTTTATTTTATAGATATGAAAAAGCGGTCTAGGTGCGACCTGAAAGGTGCACACGACTAACTTCCCAGTGGAAAGAATAAAAAATATTATATGTTTTAATATTTTATACAATTTTTCATTCAGCACAAAAGAACGACTTGACCAATTTTGCTCAAAGTTTAATGAGATTGAAGTTACATAATTATTCGTTAAATGAAACTGGTCCCATGTCAATATCACTCTTTGTTCTTGAGATACACGAGGCAAAAATTTAATTCGAACATACATACATACATACGTACATGTGTACACACGGATATCCTCCTGAAAACCATACTATTCGACTCTATAGACCCTGAAACGTGGAGATATGTTAAAATTTCCAATTTGCGAAATCGGACCCATTACAATAACTTTCCACTGGGAAGTTAATTATAAGTGAGCAAGAATTAATATCTAAAATTAATTAGGCTTTATTTTACAATAATAGAATTTTTTAGCTTCAAGAAGTGTTTACAAATTTATATTCTGTTTTAGCAACTTTTTGTTATTACCCACATAGAGAGCTACGATTGTAATGCAACATATAAATATATTATATTATACTTTCATGTTACCAGAGCTTCTATGGATTCTAAAAAGACGTTTCTGTTTTCTTCAGTGACACGTATTCCATGAACCGCGACAATGTGCAAACTTTTTTTCCGGCGGGTGTATTTCCAGTACGATGGTCTTTTGACTTTGATCGCGTCTTTATGCGTTTCAACGAGTATATGAAGCGGCTCTCCATGATCGAGTCTATATTGGAAGCAACAGTGGAGATATTCAAATTGGAGAAAGTGGAGTTTAGTGGTTTAAGAGGAAAGATACTTAGCACCGAGTGCATGAAGGTATGAAATTAGTAAGATTCGTAGAGATGGACCGAATATTCGTTTCTTATTCGGTATTCGGCGTATTCGGCGGCTTTACCGAATATTCATATTCGGTCGAATATTCGGTGATTTAGCCGAGTACCACTTTAACGAATATTCGGCTAAATCACCGAATATTCGTTAAAGTGGTACTCAAATTGTCTACTGTATTGAAATGGACTAATTGAGTAACGCCATGTCTTTCATATTTTTACTGTTGAAAGTATATTTTATTTATCGGTTAAATCTGCTTGTATGGCGGTATATTTTTGAGGTACTGTAGATTTATTTCAACTTATGGCAAATAGATAGCTTGATAAAATGTTTTTGGAATCAACAAACAAAGACAACAAAACACTACATTAGTACATTTACTACGTTAGTACATTTCAATTTACTTCGGTCGTCAGTTTCTCTAGATTTCCTGCCACTCATTTTTATCACATAAATTATCAATTTTCACTAAGAATAACACAACGAAAAATACTTTTTTCTCTCACAAAAATAGTCAAAACAAGCATGTGCCGGCAATTAGCTCGATACTTGATGATGCAATAACATGTCAGGTGTGGCGCGGGAGCAAGAGTCAGGGTCCGGTGCTAATCCCGCGCGCTTTATGGTAACAAGTTTTGAAATAAATTGGTTAGGTATCGAGGTGATCCTGCCGAATTAGGTATGTTTGGCTGAATATTCGGTTCAGTAAAAGTTTTACCGAACTTTCGGCCGAATATTCGTATTCGGTGAAATCCATATTCGGCTCATATCTAAAAATTTGTAGTTTTTGAACGGTCAGGGTTTAGGACATAAAATCTTAATTTATTATTATTAAGACATATTATATTCGTGCATGATTGTTACATTGTTTACCTTTACGAATAAAACACTTAGAAACGTCAGTCTTGATATATTAGCCCTTTATATGTCAATATAAAAATATTCGATTTTTTTTAAATATTAGTAATCTTATTAGTTAACATTCCTAATATTCCTTTCAACCACTCCTGGTAAGCTTAAAACGCTTGTGTTAGGAGTGGTTCACGACAGTAGTCAAATGGCGGATTCGAACCCACGACCTTTTGAGTTCGCGATCCGCACCCTGCCATTAGGCTACTGTCGCTTAAATTAAATTGTGGTCGCCGCCGGTGAATAGGGCTGGTTCTTTTATCACTAAAGGCTAAGAGATTCAGCAAGGAAATGCAGCTAGCGTACTTGGCACTGTACCGTGGTAAGTAGAACTGTTTTATAATTTATGATTTAGTTTTTTATTACATTAAAAACGAGAAGGATTAACGAGAAAAAGCTATCAATAGCAAGGTGAAATGAATCTCAAATATGCAGTAGGTATAACCGCGTCATATATTTATGAACAAAAATGTAACGAGCTTGAGGTTCGTGACAATAAAAATTGCCGATAGAATTACCAAAATTAACTCTTTAATTCACTTTACACTAATTAAACTTAAAACACTAATAATTAATCACACTGATTCACTTTATTTCGCTCCGAAGCTTAGCTTGTCTCGCCAAATTCAATACTTCCCCGATCGCATCTTGCAGCGCCTATAAATACAAATTAGCACCGAAACATCCAGAATATTCAAGTAAACACGCGCAAGGGGCCGAGAGTTCGAGTGTCGAGTTCTAGAAGCTTAGTTCTTCGTTCCGAGACTAGATGGCGCTGTCGGTTGAAAGATTAGTGATGTCATTTTCTGGAAAGCTCCCCTCGCTCTCGTCCCTGACACTAGATGGCGCTAGTGCCGGGTACATGACGTCGACTTATTCGCGCAACAATATTAATTTAATAAATTGTACTATCTGTATATATTTTGAAAATTATATACGAGTACAGATAGTACAATTTTATTTGAGTGTGTTATTTTATTCCTTTTATATTTCGCTTTTTATACAATAGCAAATGTATTTGGCTTATTAACAGCAACATTTCGTCTCTATATATAAAACTGCTTTTAATTTTGATGTAGGTTCTTGATGAATACACATTAATATATCAAAACCTTGGAAGCATAACGTATGATCCTGCGGATCCAGAAGATGAATCATTCCAAATGGATTACGAAAAGCATATGCGTGTGCTTGAAGATGTCGATAAAAGGCTTGCTGCGCTCTTCTCTCAAGGCCTCGACGAATGCCGAAACTTGCAACAGTTTTTCAAAGTGAGATATATCTATGTATATTTTAGTTTTAGTTAAATATTTACATATTTTGTTATTTGTAGTTTTTACGCTAACACATTGAATGAAATAATTTTAATAATTTTATCGCATTTAATTTCAACTTTTTCAATTCCCGAAGTTTACCACCAAATTTATATCTTCACAGCACTCGTGTACACCAAAAAGAGTGTACATCCATAATCATCATAGTTCATGTGGTCAAATCATCGGGAATTGTAGTTAAAAGCTAATGTGATAAATCCCGTGAAATTAGTTTTATTATTGTAAGTTTTTGGATAATGCCTATGTACCTAAGTAATTAACTTGCATTTTTAATTAAACAAAAGTACCCGGATGACCGAGCTTTGATCGGTTTGTTTTTGAAATTACATTTAGATACAAATTACATATTGATAAAACATGAATAATTTTTTTTGATCTTATTGACATAGGTAATAGAAAAAACTGAACTGGTTATTTGAATGAAAAATCATGAGTGCAATTAGTTTAATTAAGATTTTCTTATTTTTAAAAAAATACTAACAAAAAGGGCTTGAAATAACAGATTTTCTCACAAAAGAAGAGAACTCGAAAAAAAAAATGAGGAAAAAAAGTCGGACCGGAGACAGGACGCGAACCAACGCATTACGATTTCGCGACCGCTCGATATCCACTTGAGCTATTACGATCAACCACAGTGTCAAAATTTACCTTCTTATATTGTAGCAGTTTTTCATTGCCTTAAAACACGTACAAAAAGACATTTTCTCAAAATAAATCCTAGCTTGATCGATTTATTGCCCCCGAAACTACCTGGTTACTAAATTTTATGAAAATCATTGGAGCCGTTTCCGAGATTCCGATTATATACAGAATGGGTCCCACATACATGCAATAAATGAAACCACAAGTAATACTAGTCCGTAGAAGTGTAGAAAATTAAATATTAAATTAAAACCCGTAAAATAAAAAAAGTGAAATTTTGAAACAAAATAAATATTAAAATAAATTCAGTAAAAGTGAACACCCTGTTTAGACAACGTACCTTGACCCCTTGGAAGAGTGACAACGTTGCACGCGGGTGGCACGCCGACAAAAGACACCGCTGTCGATATGTCGCAATACCAATAGTTTGCACTGCGTGGCAACGTCGCTTTTTAATGTTCAAGGATTCAAGTTCATTGAATCATTGACTTAGTGACCCAATTCTATAGAGTGTTCAAATTTGCTTAAAATTAAAACTCTACTTTTTGACCTAATTACTGGACCGATTACGTTAATTTTTTGTATATCGTCAGCAAAGGCGATAACAAGTATATGGTTTCATTTATTGCATATATGTGGGACCCATTCTGTATATATATATATATATATATATATATATATATATATATATATATATATATATATATATATATATATATATATACAAGAATTGCTCGTTTAAAGGTATAATAACAAAATTGATGAGGATGACCCAATTAGTTCACATTTGAATCTATTTAGACAACATGTTGAATCAAGTAACGATACACATGAAAGTGTAATTGAAATGATTTTTATTTCATTCAACGAGAGCCTAGAATGCAAAAAAATCTTCGAAGTTGGAATGGCTACTTTCCTTTTTTTTCTGCTTTTCGATTCACTATCTGCAAACCTACATATAATTTTATTTGATAAGTTTAATTTTTACATCTCAATATTCTTTTTAGTTTTTTCAAATTATTGGCGATCTATTTCATCGGCCAATTATCAAGGAGGAGCTCAAACCTAAGCTGCCGAAGCTTATAGAATTGATGCATGAGAATTTAGATGACGTGAAAGAAATCTACGATGAAGAAATGTCGGTATGAAAATAATATTTGTACTTATGTATTCAGAGTTAGTGTTTTAAACGACTAATAAAAATATTTAAAAGTGTTTAACCATTAGGTACACAACTGATACACTTAGGGTCAATACACACCGAAACGAGAAGCGACGCGACGCGGCGCGCACTTTTTAAGAGAGTGAAACAAATATAACTTTTTCTATTACACAAAAAGATACACATTTTGTTGAGATAATCCGAAATGCCCTGTTGCATGTCGAAATGCCTAGTGGCGTAGAGCGAAGCCGCGTGACAATGCAAGACGCTGCCGCGAGTCGCAGCCTGAAGCCATCGTGGCGACTTGTCTCGACTATTACTATTAAGATAGAACCGCACTAGGTGAACTCACCGCAGCGGAACACGCGACACGCGTCAAAATATTCTTTATATGAAATTATATGAGACAACACGCACTAAGCGGTAACGGAACTACACTGCAGCAGAACTGCGAAGTTGATCAACTGACCAACTCGTGTCGCTCAGTTCCGCTGCGGTGCACCGCAGTTCAGCCTAGTGCGGTCCTACCCTCGCTTTCTACATATCGCGAGTATTGATATGTCATGTATCCATATTCTTTGCTTTTTTTTCTTGCCTGTTCTTTTTAGATCCTTTCCTCTTCCTCGCACAACTAGAAAATAATAATGATATCCATGTCGTCGTTCATCTTGCTAGGAGGTTGCCTAGCTACTGAATATATTTTTGTAGCGCCGCTGTAGTTCAAGTGTGGTTTACAAAATAATTACGCGTCGTGTCGCTCAGTCCCGCTGCGGTGCAGTTCCGCCTAGAGCGGTCCTACCTTTAGGCGTCACGCTGCCAGCGACCTGTAGACGCGCCTGGCGACGTCGTGATACATCTCGCGGCAGCGCAGTGCGGTGACCTCTTCAAGCACCGTCGCGTCTCTGTGTGAACTAACCCTTATTCTACTTATGCTATATATTAATTTAACATAACATTTCCAAATATTTTAAAATATTAAAAACGAATAAACATTAAAACTAGTATTTAATACACAATTTCTCTAAAAGACATCGTTGTTTCTTTCAAGAAATTAACTAAAGGTCCAGAGAGACCAATGGTCGACCCATATTTGCCGCCAGTGGGTGGTATGATCTGGTGGATACATAAGCTACGAAGGAGGATACAGGAGCCTATGGAAGATTTCATTTTATTCGAAGACCCGTACGTAACCTATTCTTTCTTTAAAAGGAAAAGTGTTAATGAGTAATGGATGTTTACAAATTCTTAATAACTATGTGTCATTCATATTGTTCGTTCTTACGATTATGTTTATAATGTTTAAGGACTATTTAAATTAACTATGAAAAGGTTTTTTATTTTTTTATAAAAAATATTACCCTCACACTTGTAGGCCATACAAATACTTGTTCCGTGCGGGATTCGAACCCGCGGCTCCAGCGGCAACTCATTGCTAAGCCACTGCGCCACGAAGCCGATATAATAAAATTGGCTTTAGAATGATGTGTGGATTTTTATGTAGCTACAACTTGTACGAGTATTTCAATTTTGTTGTTTTCCTTAGACCCCTTTTTGTGATTGTAAGGAATAATAGAAATCATCAGAGTGATAGATCATTATCAGAGAGAGCTCAATCAACAACATTTTTAAATGATTTCTATCAGATTATTTTTTTTTTTGAAAAAAATTGAAAAATCCTGTTATCCACGTAATACTAATAAATTAAATCATTTGCCAACATTTTAGACCGATAGCACTGTAAAATTATTTTTCAAATCGTGCATTTAAGATTTAAGTCTTTTGCTTTGTCTTAAGTATCACAAGCAGCGAGGCGGCCGCGTACATGAAGCAGAAGCACAACGAGATGCTGGGCTACCTAAATGTGCTGGAAGACAGACAGTTCAAGCAGTGGTGCGCAACTGTCCCCAACATTTGCCAAGTGCACCTGGCTAAGAATCTCATATATCGTGATCCACCCTTTGTCAGGAATAATTTTAGTCCTGAGGTAAGAAAATCTTGTTATATAATCATCATTACAGCCCTTCACAAGTCATACAACATAGGCAAGAACATAGGCCTTCCCCAAGGAATGCCACAAAGTACGGTCCTGAGCCACCAGCATCCATCGACTACCTGCATGTCTTACCAATTCCACTCAACTCCGTCACTCCACATAGTGGAGAGACGCCTTACACTTCGCCGGCCGATACGAGGCAATGCCGCTCGAGAACCTTTCTTTCCCATATGTTATCAGTTCTTTGAGCTATATGGCCGGCCTATTGCCACTTCCACTTACTAATCCGTTGGACTATATCGTTTACTCTTCTTTGAGCTATATGGCCGGTCGATTGCCACTTCGAATTACTAATCCGTTGGACTATATCGGTTACTCTTCTTTGAACTATATGGCCTGTCCATTGCCACTTCAGCTTACTAATCCATTGGACTATATCGGTTACTCTTCTTTGAGCTATATGGCCGGTCCATTGCCACTTCAACTCACTAATCCGTTGGACTATGTCGGTTACTCTTCTTTGAGCTATATGGCCGGTCCATTGCCACTTCAACTCACTAATCCGTTGGACTATGTCGGTTACTCTTCTTTGAACTATATGGCCGGTCCATTGCCACTTCAACTCACTAATCCGTTGGACTATGTCGGTTACTCTTCTTTGAGCTATATGGCCGGTCCGTTGCCACTTCAACTCACTATTCCGTTGGACTATGTCGGTTACTCTTCTTTGAGCTATATGGCCGGTCGATTGCCACTTCGAATTACTAATCCGTTGGACTATATCGGTTACTCTTCTTTGAACTATATGGCCGGTCCATTGCCACTTCAACTTACTAATCCGTTGGACTATATCGGTTACTCTTCTTTGAGCTATATGGCCGGTCCATTGCCACTTCAAATCACTAATCCGTTGGACTATGTCGGTTACTCTTCTTTGAGCTATATGGCCGGTTCATTGCCACTTCAGCTTACTAATCCGTTAGACTATATCGGTTACTCTTCTTTGAGCTATATGGCCGGTCCATTGCCACTTCAACTTACTAATCCGTTGGACTATATCGGTTACTCTTCTTTGAGCTGTATGGCCGGTCCATTGCCACTTCAACTTACTAATCCGTTGGACTATATTGGTTACTCTTCTTTGAGCTATATGGCCGGTCCATTGCCACTTCAGCTTACTAATCCGTTGGACTATATCGGTTACTCTTCTTTGAGCTATATGGCCGGTCCATTGCCACTTCAGCTTACTAATCCGTTGGACTATATCGGTTACTCTTCTTTGAACTATATGGCCGGTTCATTGCCACTTCAACTTACTAATCCGTTGGACTATATCGGTTACTCTTCTTTGAGCTATATGGCCGGTCCATTGCCACTTCAGCTTACTAATCCGTTGGACTATATTGGTTACTCTTCTTTGAGCTATATGGCCGGTTCATTGCCACTTCAGCTTACTAATCCGTTGGACTATATCGGTTACTCTTATTTGAGCTATATGGCCGGTCCATTGCCACTTCAACTTACTAATCCGTTGGACTATATCGGTTACTCTTCTTTGAGCCATATGGCCGGTCCATTGCCACTTCAGCTTATCCGTTGGACTATGTCGGTTACTCTTCTTTGAGCTATATGGCCGGTTCACTGCCACTTCAGCTTACTAATCCGTTAGACTATATCGGTTACTCTTCTTTGAGTTATATGGCCGGTCCATTGCCACTTCAAATCACTAATCCGTTGGACTATGTCGGTTACTCTTCTTTGAGCTATATGGCCGGTTCACTGCCACTTCAGCTTACTAATCCGTTAGACTATATCGGTTACTCTTCTTTGAGCTATATGGCCGGTCCATTGCCACTTCAACTTACTAATCCGTTGGACTATATCGGTTACTCTTCTTTGAGCTATATGGCCGGTCCATTGCCACTTCAACTTACTAATCCGTTGGACTATATCGGTTACTCTTCTTTGAGCTATATGGCCGGTCCATTGCCACTTCATCTTACTAATCCGTTGGACTATATCGGTTACTCTTCTTTGAGCTATATGGCCGGTCCATTGCCACTTCAGCTTACTAATCCGTTGGACTATATCGGTTACTCTTCTTTGAACTATATGGCCGGTTCATTGCCACTTCAACTTACTAATCCGTTGGACTATATCGGTTACTCTTCTTTGAGCTATATGGCCGGTCCATTGCCACTTCAGCTTACTAATCCGTTGGACTATATCGGTTACTCTTCTTTGAGCTATATGGCCGGTTCATTGCCACTTCAGCTTACTAATCCGTTGGACTATATCGGTTACTCTTATTTGAGCTATATGGCCGGTCCATTGCCACTTCAACTTACTAATCCGTTGGACTATATCGGTTACTCTTCTTTGAGCCATATGGCCGGTCCATTGCCACTTCAACTTACTAATCCGTTGGACTATGTCGGTTACTCTTCTTTGAGCTATATGGCCGGTTCACTGCCACTTCAGCTTATTAATCCGTTAGACTATATCGGTTACTCTTCTTTGAGCTATATGGCCGGTCCATTGCCACTTCAGCTTACTAATCCGTTGGACTATATCGGTTACTCTTCTTTGAACTATATGGCCGGTTCATTGCCGCTTCAACTTACTAATCCGTTGGACTATATCGGTTACTCTTCTTTGAGCTATATGGCCGGTTCATTGCCACTTCAGCTTACTAATCCGTTGGACTATATCGGTTACTCTTATTTGAGCTATATGGCCGGTTCATTGCCACTTCAGCTTACTAATCCGTTGGACTATATCGGTTACTCTTCTTTGAGCTATATGGCCGGTCCATTGCCACTTCAACTTACTAATCCGTTGGACTATATCGGTTACTCTTCTTTGAGCCATATGGCCGGTCCATTGCCACTTCAACTTACTAATCCGTTGGACTATGTCGGTTACTCTTCTTTGAGCTATAGGGCGGCCCATTGCCACTTCAGCTTATCCGTTGGACTATGTCGGTTACTCTTATTTGAGCTATATGCCCGGTCCATTGCTACTTCAGCTTACTAATCCGTTGGTCTATGTCGGTTACTCTTCTTTGAGCTATATGGCCGGTCCGTTGCCACTTCAGCTTACTGAATCCGTTGGACTATGTCGGTTACTCTGGTTCTACGGCGGATATCCTCATTTCTAAGTTTATCACGCAGAGAAACCCCAAGCATAGCCCTCTCCATAGCTCGCTGAGCAACTTTGAGCTTGCTCATATGGCCTGCAATGAAGGACGAAGTCTCAGATCCATAGGTCATCACTGGCAATACGCACTGGTTGTACAATCTAGTTTTGAGGTTTTGAGGTACGCCTGACGAGAGGATGTGTCGTAGTCTGCCGAACGCTGCACAGCCGAGTTGAATCCGTCGATTGACCTCCTGGTCGAAGTTAGATTTAACTCAAGTCGGACTATTTGTCCCAGGTAAACATACTCGTCAATAACTTCGAGCTTTGTGCTCCCAACAACTACGGGCATAGGTGTGACATGGACATTAGGTACACATGACTTTTGTTTTGTCCATAGTCATATTAAGGCCTATCCGTTGTGAGATACTATTGAGGTCAATGAGCATAGTGCTTAGGTCCGCCGGTGATTCTGCCGTAAAGACTATATCGTCGGCAAATCGAAGGTGAGTGATGTACACGCCATTGACGTTAATACCGTATCATTTCCAGTCCAGTAACTTGAAAACGTCTTTCAATGCAGCGGTGAAGAGTTTCGGGGAATTTACGTCACCCTGTCTTACACATCTCTGCAGTTGGATAGGTTTCGTACTCTGGTTCTGTACTCGGATAGCTATCGTGGCCCTACTGTCACACTTCAGCACTTCAATATACCGACGATCAATTTGGCACCGGTGAAGGGACTGCAGTTGACTTTTCTGGTATAAAAGGTAGCTAATGTCACGCAATAGAACGAGAATAACGTTTCCTGGCCACAGGGTACTTTTCTTTTCCCAAGATTATTGCATGCCTTAAGCGCAAAGCGTGTAGGTATGTTCTACTAGCGCCTAAAAATTAAAAATCTAACGTTTTGTCGCATGAAATCGTATCTAACAATGATATTGAACATATAAATGATATAAAAAGCACATTGTCAGAAAGATAAATGACATTAACGAAGTGGTTTTAGTGGCTTATGGTGTAAATTTATTAGTTCCGCATATCAATCTCTTCGGATCTCAGATAATACTATAATATCCTAGCGCAGCTTGTCTATCTCTTCTTCCAGGTTCAGTATCTTCTTGTCAGTCCTCAGTGTGCGTACATTATATTATGTTGCCAGGTCAAATCGTCTGAGGTGGCAGCCGAACCTCCACCGGAGATTTTTAGCACCCACTGCACCGCTACCATAATCGCTGTAACCAGGAATAGCAGTGCCGCCGGCGGCCGGCAACTATGGCAATGTACCCTATATTGCCATAGTTGCCACGCTTGGCGAGCGGGTTGACAACCGCAGTTTTTATTGCTTTTTGCTGTTAATAGATAGATGCTGCCACCCATCTTCTGCCTCAGTTTCCATCTGTCATCTCTTACGACACCCACGGGAAGATATGAGGTAGTGGGTATTCTTATCCGCCACTAACTAGGGATTGTAAAATAAAATATAATAAAAAATAATTATATAAGTAATAAAGTTATTTATTTGGGTTTGGAAGGGATCGTGCGGCTTAAAAAAAATACGTGTGGCACTCGGTGACTACCGCGGTAAAGCTATTGCATAGCATTTTTTATCAACTTATGCAATTATAATTATTTATTTATTTTATTTATGCAGTTAAGTCTTTGATATTAAATCAAGTTACACTTTTTGAGCGTGGTGACCGATAAGAAAACAATTTTTTTTCTCTTATTGAATAAATGAGAAGTTAATATTGTTTAAAATATTTTTTTTAATATCCACATGTAGGTTATTCAGGAATTTTTATCATTGAGTTAGCAGCTAGTGTACACGCACACAAACACCGTGCCGAAGTCTGCCGAACTAAAACGACGTTAGACGATGCACGGCTTTCAACGCCACACCTCCGTGCCCGTCGGAGTGGGGAGCGTGAGGTTTTTTTTCGTTACGGAATTTCTGGATTCGGTCCAAGCGCTTCGCGCTCAAGGCCCGCGATAGAAGCTAAAAACGAACGGAGTTTGTGTATCCTTTGCTGTGTCTTATCTAGATCATATACATCTAAGTTATGTTTTCGTTTCTAAATTTTGTTAGTATTGATAAAACAATTTTACAATATGCGTCATTTTTATGAATAAAAATGTTATTGGAAAATATCGTTAAATGTCGTATTTAATTTAAAAAATATTCCTAAAATGTAAAATATGCAAGGCAATGGATCAAGTGATTTTTTTTTTGTTGAAACAGTTAGTAATGTTACTGCGCGAGATACGCTATATGAAGTATTTGGACAAACAAGGCATTCCTGCTGAGGGTTTGGAGCTATATGCCCGAAATGAAAAGCTACAGGTGAGTGTAACAATGAGATAAAATAATAAGTAACAAATAAAGATCAGAAACCGACTATTTGGTACAAGTTATATTATACTATAGTAGGCGTTTTACACATCGCAATGTGCAGTCACATGTTATCAGATTTTATTTATTAGAAAATATCTTAGAAAATACGCTATATTATCGCAATCAACGTTTGCGTCACATTTAGTTGACGTGATAGACGTAAACCGGGTAATTTAAATAATCCTTATAATAATCTGTGTTATCATATTATTTTAGTTAAAACAAAATAACAAACATAAAAATAAAAAGTCTTTTTAACGTCAATTTCACACCCTAGAATAAAATAAACATATACTAATAAGCAATTAATTGAATATTGGCATTATGTATATGGGGTAGTTTTAATAGGACTGATCCACTTGATGGTAAGTGGTTGTTGTGGCTCATAGACATTTAAATCTATCCTCGATTACGAATCAAAATGTAAATGCGGTGTGTGGGAGTTTTGGTGGGATTTTGGCCGTTGACGGTTGTCGCTCCTGTTTTGTCGCTTGAATAATGGTGAAGTGGATTTTGATTTGTAAAAGTGATGCGATTTTGTGAATTATGTGTCTGCGCGTGTGAACTATTAGAGAAAACGACGAAACAAGTGCTTTTATGTTGATATAAACCTCAAGTTAATTTGATCGCTTGGGCGCCTTATCAACTTGAGTGGCTGTCGTTATCAACAGTCCGCAGGCTTGAGCTATTGGGTGCGTTTGGCAGAAAGTACATTTTGTTTTTTTTTTTTGAGTAGTTTATAAGTTGTTTTGTGCAATATTTTAGTTTTGTAATATAATGACTGAATAAATATATGTTATTATTCATATTGTAAGTTTTTAATTATTTTTTTTTAAATTAGGTTAAGTTTTTGAGGTATTTGTTCAGCCTTGCTGCGCTTTTTGGCACCCATTTCAAAATCTTCCAAAAACTTCGGAATGTGACGCATCAGCATATTGTGGTGAAAAAACATATAAAAAGAAAATTCTGAAAGAAATGATAGGATCAGAAGGGCTAGAACCCAGAGCCGTAAAGCTAGTTAAATAAAAATAAAATAAATAAATGCGTTGTCACCCGTGAAGACTAAGATGAAATGCCTCCTTTCCAGTAAAAAGGGTCTCCGTAAAAAGCTGCTATTTTACGCTGGTGTTCTGCGAGAGCGTGGTCTTTCCCTGGTCTAGTCGAACCATTCGTGCTACGAGTACAACTATACTACTAATGTAGATGCAGCGTGGCTCTACCACGTAAACGTTGAATGAGTTCACTGCTGAATTTAGGCTTCACCGTCTGTTGAGAGTATCGTTGTTTTGTATGGGAACATAATGAGATTGGATTTATTGTGAACTTTGTTTAATATTCAAACTCAATAATGGCTTACATAAACATGGCAGTATGACATGAATCGTCTTAACCGCGCGATCGCCTGGTACAACGATATACGGGAGGGCAGCCACGAGACCGAGGTGGCACTCATTGAGAAAGAGATTTCCGCCATCGATAATTTACTCGGGCGCGGCGTAGAGGAGCTTACTTGGAATGATGATTGTAAGTATAACATAATATTTTTTTTATTTTCTTTAACTAATCTTTGAGCCGTGTTAGATTAGGGGTAAGGAACAGTATTAAAAGCAATCTGGTTTTGATCTCCACAGGCACAAATGTAAGTAAATGGTCCATATATATTCACTCATACTTAGGTAGCTATTTTGCTTTGATATACATATAATTACTTATTCGGTTTTAGTAGATAAAAAGTTTGTTATTTTTAAATTGCCGACAACGACGAATTCTATATTAAGGCAGCAATAATTTTTGAGTAGATTTATTTTTATAGGATAGGGTGATAAACGAGCACATAGTCCACCTGATGGTAAGTGGTTGCTGCGGCCCATTGACAACTACATCTATCCTCGATTACGAATCAAAATGCAGATTCGTTGTCACCTGTGAGGACTAAGATACCCGGATACCTTTTTACTGTTTTCAGTAAAAAAGGGTATCCGGTCTCTACACTCACCATACGAAACACAGCAGCATTAAGTTACTACCACACGCTGGTATTCTGTGAGAGCGTGGTCCTTCCCCGGTCGAGCCGACCCATTCGTGCTACAACTATAATACAGCTGCAGCTTGGAAACGTGCAGCGGTGAATCGTGTTACAACTATACTACTAATATAACTGCATCATGGCTCTACCACGTTGAAAAAAATTACGTTTAAGTTTTCACTTACCGAGACGTTGACCATTAAAGGTGAACGTTTGAATGAAGACAAGTACCGCCGGATTCGCGTTTATCTCCATAGTGGTGTTGATGGGCTAGATGAAGTGCTCGAGGCGGTTAAGCGACAGGATTGGCAACGCTCTAGCGACGAACGCGCTTTCGGTTCGAAGAAAGGAAGGAGCGTTATGTAATGCGTTATGTATTATTAATTGCAATTTTCAGTGCTGATTTACCAGGTGCTCAGTAGTGAAATAAACCGTCGTGAGGAAACCGGCATGCTTGGGAAATAAAATATTTTGAGGGCGTGTAAAGTCTGTTAACAAGCGCTGGAGCAGCGCGGCGAGCTAATCGCTTTTTAATCCTCTTATAATAGGACGCCTGTGCCTGGCAGTGGACGTGTATTGATTGTTACTTATTTAAAAAAAATGCTTTATTTTTTAAACGTTTATGAAACATAACAGAAATAATAATATATTGATTAAAACTACTTTTACGGATTTTATCGCGTTTAATTTTACTTTTAATTATTTTTATTTTTAATTCCCGATGTTTCGGGTGCTTTCCAGCACCCATGGTCACGGGGGACTGAGGTGACTGACGTCCTGATGTCATTGTTAAACCCGGAGTACCTTCAGCTTTTTTTAATTATTGTTTATGATCCGATCTATGCAAAATGAACTGATTATGTCCTGAGGTCTTGCAGTGGTATGCTTGGGTTTAGTTTTAATTTTATTGATATATTTATTTATATTGATTTTGGGTCCCCAGCAGGTGGTAGTACCCAGCCTCCTTCTCTATTGAAATTAGGATGTTTTTTTTTTAATTTCAATAGCCTCACGTATTCATCCTTGGTAGGAATCGGTACCAAGGATGTACTCAGTCCCCGTGACCAACGTCGGGAATTAAAAATAAAAGTAATTAAAAGTAAAATTAAACGCGATAAATCCGTAAAAATAGTTTTAATCAATGTGTAGTGTTCGCGTAAATATAAGAAATAAATAAATAATAATATATTTTAAATTGCTCTGTTTTAGTCACGGAATGGATGGCGGAAGTGTACAGCGCAATCAACACGCTGCAAGAGCGCGTGCTAAGCGCGCAGAGAAACGTGAAGCGCGGTTTGGCCAATATAGCGGCGTGGGGCGACAAGCCCCTGTACGTGCGCAAAGAGAATCCCGAGCGCCTCGAGCTGCTCGCCGTAAACGAGCGCCACCCGCGTCTCGTGCGCAGGTACACGTGACGATAGGATTTACTTACCACGTTTACTTTACGCGTTTACTTACCACAGAACACTATTTTACTTTTAGCAACTGATAACTTTACTCTCTAGTCACACAATTATGTTTCACTTTACTGTATCGAGTGTACTAACTCACCTATATGGAAACTCGTAACGCATAACCTTTCCTTTAAAAAATGTAACATGAACCAGAAAAACACGTGCTTTAGTATCACCGTATCTATATCGTGTGTTAAAATTGCATCTATAATCTAGAAAAATAAAGTGAGATGGAAATAGACGACAGTTGTGGGTATCAATATATAACAAAAGAATCTCCGCTTTGGGTGTTCATGCAAAATTCGTTATGGCCCAATGAGTTAAAACAGATGTTGAGACCAGGATTAAGAAAGGAATGCCTGGATGGATTTAAAACGTAGAAAGAATGAGTGAGAAAAAAGTGACAAAGATTTTTTCATTGAAAAGTTACGCTGCAAAAGAAAGTGTCATAGTCGGCAAGGGACGCCCTGGGCGGAAGTTTATCAATCCAATTGGTGACTTGTCTGTGAAGGGCCAAATTAAGAGTATCCTTAAGAGACGAGCATATATGCATAGATATGGGCAAAAAGCGAGTATCGCGAAAATCGTGCTAGATGGAAGTTCGTAGTCTGTCCCTACCTCTTTGGGTGACAGGCGTGAGAGCTAACCATTTTATTACGAAACGAAATTTATCAATAGACTTGGGTTTAACTGTAACTATAGTATAAGGATAATCTTTCCAACAAGCGACGTCCCTTAAACGTTGGGCCATAGTCATCGTGAAATTTTACGTTTGCTGTACATTAGTACGGAATTTCATTCAAGTTTGCTCTGTGAGATTTTTTCGTGAAAAGATTCCATTTTTTATAAGTCCTTGAAATAATTAATTTTACTTATTTATAACATTTTAGCCGAGTGGGCGCCCGCAATAATAAGAATTTTTCATGCACTCAAGTAGGTGGTAAATCAGCACCCCCCCCTGAACGGGTTCCCGCCTTGTCATGGCGAGGAGGCTTAGTAGCCGTGGCTTGGTCATCCGCGGTGAACTAAGAGGAACCCAACGGAGGCCCGAGGAGAGGGGCCGGCCTGAGGTGGTCACTCCGAGTGGGCTTGGCGAGCCCACTTCGGATGTGTGCTGGTGATCTGCGGCGTAAGGGGTGCCCTCTCCCCTTATAGCCGCAGGAAGGTGCAGTCGCGGAGGAAGAGGAGTGTTGGTATGGCAATGCGCCACTCACCCTATCCTCCGCGACTCAAACTGGGCCGCACCGTTGATGCGGTGGTGGTGGAGCTGCGGTGGGAGAGGATTGTTTGTATTGCAAGGCGACGCTCTCCCTACCCTCCGCAGCTGAATCTTGGTTGGCGGCGGAGCCATAGACCAGATCCGCCGCTGTGGTCAGGAAGGCTAGTGCTTCTGAATGCTCGTTTTTCCTCGTCACATGGCCTTCGCGCATCGGACACGGGGGTGTCTGTTGCGCAGGTATAGTTGGAGGCCGTGGAGGAAGGCGCGCCATGTGTTCTGGTGCGCCTTTCTTAAGAAGGAAAAAGGAGAGGAGGCGCCGCCATGAGGCAGCCGACACTGGTGGCGCCGCGAACGTGTGCGAAAGCGTTCCTGTGGCCCTGCCAATATGCGACGAATGTGGAATAGCATGGGGTTTTAGTCGGTGCGAATCCGACATAACCCTTCCTTTCCCCTGCGAGGTGGGTTTGCGTAGGCATTTCCCCATGTTAAAAAAAATAAGGCGGTAAACAAGCAAACAGCTCACAGTGCAAATAAATTTTGTTTTGTTTTTGTTTTTTATGATTATTACTTGTTAGAGCTAAGTTAAAAACCTACATTTCGCTGTTTTGTAATATCGCTTTTTTCACTTTAAAAACGTTTTTCATAAATTAACATACTTTATTTTATTTTAGGCGAAATAATATTCTTGCAAGTCACAAAGAGTTCGAGCAAATTTTAGTCGACAATTATAAATTGTTTTTCAATATTCAAGACGAGGAAGAGGTAATTTAACAGTTATTTAGTTTTTCTTTTACATTTTCTTGGCTAAAATTTAAATCAACGAATTTTATAAATGTTATAAGTTATTCCTTACGATATATTGACAGAATTTGAGGTTTGAATATATTCTTTTAACACCAACCGAACCTAGTCACCGTACTGTAATGCTCCCAGTATTTTTGGCTAACTTCAAAAAAGGAGGCGGTTCAAATTTCGATTGAGTTTTTGTATGTATGTTATTTATATTCATCAACTGTGAACCAATTGAAAATATTTTTTAAATTAAATTGGCCTAAGGTGTTCCCGTATAAATTTGGAGAAAAATTTTAATATTCTTTTGTTGAAAATTTAGGTTTCTGATGTAGGCTTTTTCATTTTTTAAATTTTAATTTTTTGAAAATGTTAGAGCGACAAACTCGTAACATAGTCCCCATGATGGTAAGAATTAATAGGAACTGATAAGATTTACGAGAACTAGGTGGTAGGACTCCGACTGTAAGTAATGCCTATCTAGAGAATAAGATTTTTCCCAAAAGATGTGTATCTCGACTGCATAAGTTTCACATTTATATTCGCATTATAATATATTTACTTGTTGTATATTTAGCTAAAATAAAATTCAGGGTTTAAACCAAATATAGGAACTTTGTCTGATGTATAATGGTTAAAAAATTTCAGCTGGAATCAGAAGAAGAAGAGTTGGAAGAAGTTGACGAGACAATTCTTGATGAAGATGAAAAGTTAGCTCGAGAAAAAAAATTGCAAGAGATAATGGAACGACGCGAGGAAAAGCGACTAGCCCGAGAGGAGAGACAAAGGGAAAAAGCTGAAGCTGAAAGGTTGAAGTTTGAGCGAAGAGAGGCACGAAGATTGAAAAGAGAGGCCAAAGAAGCAGAGAAAAAAGAACGGCAAGATCGCAGAGATGCAGGTTTTGTTTACTCACTGTAGTAGAACTGAAAATATTGGGCCTATTATATTACTATTACATTGTCTCATAGGAGGCATATTTTTAGTTTTATATTATTTTGATTAGTTATTATGAAAATGGTGCTGCTCACATTCAGTTTCTTTCCACTGTCACCTCTTTCGATATCAAAAAGAGTGGATTTTTACCGCCGCCACTGCAAGGCAAGGCACAGGGGAAAAATAAAAAAAATTATGAGTTGTTCTTTTCATTCATACATTCATCTCTGATTTTTAATGACCCTAGCCGATTTCAACATCGATTACACTTTTCAATGAACTTTCACCGTCTTATTACAAAACGTGAGATGTATATTACTAGATTCGGATTTATTCGGATTAAACTATAACTTAACAATAGTCCTTCTCACAAAAGAAGTCCGCTAACCGCGGTGCCACAATCTTCTCTGATATTTGCTGTCAATCCATGTAAATACATTTTAGTTCGCAAATATTTCAGGATTTTTGTCGTAAAAATTGTTACAATTTAAGTCTGAGACTATTTATAAACTATTGCTTTTTATAATAAGGTAGTTTGAAGTCACTTTTGATAAAGTTAGAGGTTTAATTTACTTTCTATTATACCATGTGAAACTTAACCTGATTAAGTTTAAGTGGAAATACACGGGTAAAGAATAAAATTAGACATAAAACTAATATTTAGCTATTACTGCAAACTAATGATTTCAATAGATATTTTTATCTGAGATATATCTAGAAAAAACCCTAAAATAATGCCATATCTGAGAATACATCAAAAATTGTAGACAGAGAAACCTATAGACAAATTGACGCCTTCTTTCGCATTCGCACACGAAAAAGATAGATTTATACGTACGTCTTGCATAGAAATGAGACAGAGCGGTGTGATTGCTTGTCCCTTTCTCCGTGCCGGTTTTTTGTTTAGCAAACTACACTTTGCTAAACAACTTTGACAGTTCGTAGCGATCAGGAGTTTCGGTTAAGCGAGTGTTTTGTGAGCTTGAGATTGGTGAATCTTGTTCAGTTCAGTTCTTAGAACAATTAAAATATTATTTAAATATGTTTAAGTCATAAAGATTATTGTATAACCTAAAACTACCTTATCGTCCTTTCTCACTCGAGGCCACGCTATACATTAGTCTATAGGTTTCTCTGTCTACGTCAAAAACCAATTCCACAAACAAAAATGTGTGGCCAACAAAAATATTGTGTAGGTGAGGAGGTAGATTCTCCCGCGGAAGAGGAAGAGGAAATTGATCCAGAAGAGTTAGCAGATATTGAGGCAGAGCGAATTGAGCAGGAACAGGAAGCATTTAGAGCAGAGCGATGGCCTGCTTACGTAAAATATGTCGATTCACAGGTGAGCAGTTTGTCGTCTTAATATTTTTTTAAAAACATCTTAAACTTGTACGTATTTATATTAGAATTGCAGCGAATAGTATAACCGGCCACACGCCGAATACCGAATATTCGGCGGACTTCCTGGCTGAATAGTCGAATATTAGGCAAAAGTATTCGGCGGGAAAGGAAGTAATGTTTATTATTCAGAGCGTCTATTCTCTGAAGCTGGGATTGTCTATGAGAAGAAAAGGAGTAAGCTACTGCCTTAAAATGAAGAAAACTTAGTCTTTCTGTACCATTATCTTCCACTTTTATTAACGATAGTTTACTACTATTACACATATTTGATAGTTTTTATTTTTCATTTTTATAATAAACGAAGGCGATTGTGTACTTATGGCTACATCAATGATTACAACAAAATAAAAATAATTGTAAAATAAATAAAAAATTTACTTTTACCCATTATCTGACTACAATAAAACCTCTTACTTAGGTATTCGGTATTCAGCTGAATGGTACCTAGATATTCGATATACGACCGAGTAGGATAAAAGTAGCCGAATAGACTGAATACCGAATAACAGTCGAATATTAGTTGCAAGTCTAATTTATATTACCTATTTATGATGCTAGTGTTGATTTATAATTTTTATGTATATGTAGCTATAAAAAGTGCGTAGAACCGTGTAATGTATAGAACTTTTAGTAGGGACAACACTTTAACACTTCGCAGTGAAAAATGTTTATACGTATATGTATGTGCCAAATTCTTGGGGTCCACTGCTATTGTTAAGGCCGATTTAAACTAAACGAACGAATGTTTTATACACACTTTATCAAATTCTTTTCGTGTAAACAGAGTTAAAGCATTCTTTCGTTATTATTTGTTAGCGGAGATTATAATATGGAATGTTTAAGAATGTTCGCTTGCTTAATTTCAATGGTGCACGAGCGGCGTGCAGATCACTCGATCGCTGTACCTAAATATCTCTAAAATCTGCGTAAAATCTAGTTCTTGTTCTTATACGTGCTCGCTGGTATTCTTTTGGTGTAAATGATGAAAAGGCGAATTTTTTGTTTATACTGAAACTCGTTCGTTTGATTTAAACCCACCTGAATATGACGTTTCCTGGTTATTATTTACTTGTATTTTTTAATTAGTAAGTTTTTGAATATTTTAATTTTAGGTATCGCGTCAAGTAATGAAGGCTATACAGACTAGCTTGGATCTTTTTGAGACGCAGACCGATCTGGAGAAGGGTCCACAAGTTCCCTTTATGGAAGTCATTGCGGAATTAAAAGACCCAGGTTATCTTGCATATTTATTTGAGGATATTCAATTTCAAAAGACTAATAAGTAATTTATTTTCTTAAATGTACTATTTTCTATTTAACTAACTAATAACTAATTTCCTTGCAGATATTGTATTTACCCCATCTCTGGAGATTGACGATGAATACGGCCTATACGACACTCTCAATGAAATGATGAAAGACATGTTTTTGCAAGCCACGCTATTTCCTCGAATAGACCCCATTGTTCCTATTGCAAACTACGAAGGTAGATATTAGAATTATTAAAATTCACAAATTCTGTTGTTTTGTGTGGTAGCTATATTGTGTAATATTACGTGTATAATCAAAAATTTATATCGATAGCTCTCATTCATCCGTATATGATTAGTAAAAGTAGGTACAAGTGGTAAAATTAAAAATTTTGTACAACCGACTTCAATATTTAGATAAAATGAGAACATGTTCAATCTATTCCAAGTCAAATACGCATTATTAACAAAACTCTCTAACAGCTCAATAACAGCTCAATATCAAACTCAATAACAGCTGTCTGTTCTTGATAAAATTTATATGAGACCACACGAGAAGCACCAGCTTTCAAATAAAAAAATCATCCAAATCAGCTCACCTAGATAAAACATAAAACACTCACGCCTGTCACCCAGAGGGGCAGGCAGAGACTACAGACTTCCATTTGGCACGACCCTGACACACCTCACTCGCCTCCTTCACATCCATATACCTCCGCATACATGCTCGTCAGTTAAGGGTACTTCTAATTTGGACCGTTTTCAATAAATTGCTAATGTGGTCGATAAATTTTCGCCTAGGACGTCCCTTTTCGATTCTGCCATTCACTTCTGTAACATGAAATTCTTTGTCACTCTTACCTTATTCATTCTTTCCACATGACCAAACCACCGAAGCATTCCTTTCTTAATCCTGGTTACAAAATTTTCTTGCAAACCACACTCTTCTCTTATCACAGAATTTCTCACCCTGTCATTCAGATACAGCCTTAACGTACTCCTTAACGACCACATTTCCACTGAGTTTATTTTACTCTCGTGATTTTTCTGCCACACCCAACTTTCACTACCATACGTCAAAGTAGAGACCAACACAGCATTGTGAATTGCCATACGAGCCTGTCATGTGTCATGTGTCAAACACATTATGACTCTTCACAATAGAGTGTAGGGCCCATTTACTCTATTTCCTGCGTTCACGCGTCGTTCTATATCCTTATTATATCTCCCATCCCTGCTTAATACGCAACCCAAATATACAAACTCATCTACTTGCTCGATCAACTCCCTTTCTATTCTTATTTCCCATATCGTTTTACTTTCTTCTCTTTCAAAACTATAACTTTCGTCTTACTTGCGTTCACTTTCAGACCCCTTTCTTATAATGATCTGTTCATTAATGTAACCATCATTTGCAACTTGGCCCCCGACGACACAAGAATAACTTGATCATCGGCGTACAAAAGCATTTGACGGTTAACTCACCCATTCATAATCCGCATTCTTCAACTTTCAAATTTTCCAAACAACTGTCCATAAATAGGTTGAACAGTCCCGGGGAAGCCACACAGTCCTGTCTGACACCTTTATGGATGCCAAACCAGTCCGAGTAGACCACGTTAAACCTAACACAAGAACCTATAAACCCTATAAAGAGACTCCAATGCCTGTATCAAGCCAGGCCTCACCTAGATAAAAGTTCTGATGTAACACGATAAAAAAAAACATTCGAATTGTACCTCCTCTTTTTTGAAGTCGGTTAAAAAGGCTGTGAAAGACAAAAAAGTGGGTTCCATCGAATGAGTTGATGCATAGAGACTACTTCAAAAACAATAAGGACCGGACAATAATAAGAACCGGACTTACGATTACAGTCAAATTGAGTATCTTCTAATTTTTTTAAGTCTGCAAAAAATAAAAACGGTTGTATTGAGTTCCACTGGTGGTCTAGACTTCTTATTTCTGAAAAGGTTTTAGAGCAGAAATGAGTCCGTTGCGCGCTTCAGTACGCATTAACGGACTTCATGATCATGACATTTGAATCATTTTGCGTATTTGTCTGTCTGTATTTTGTCTTGGCAATATCCCGGAGGCGTTTAGTCCATACACACGAATTCTTTTGTTAATTTTGTTAAATTTTGTTAATTTTGTTAAATCACACTGATAATGACACTAGAGCAAATATTTTTGATGATACAATCTATTTCTATCACTGCCATGTTTTGTTCTATTTTGTCATAAAATAATTAAAAAAATATCTCAATATTTGTCCAGTTAACCCGTCTTTATCAGACATCCAGCAAACAAATTAACGAACATTAAAAATAAAAGAAAAACATACAGACAGCCACAATATTTATACTAACTCTAACCTACGGTACAGTTTTTGAGGAGGATACAGGGCAATATGGAATTATGATTTCGTAAATTTTTAATGGGTTTAATTTGTTCGAGCACCTTGTCTTTCCGGTTGTCTTACTCGTACGTTCGGGCATAATGCGACACCAATAGGTAGTTAAAAACTTATAATTCAAATTAATGCAGCTCGGAGGCACTCCTAAGCTAAATATTAAAATTTTTACGCCAACTACTCTATGTCAGAGGAATTAGGTTCAGATGCACTGCACGAACCGCAAGAACTTTGATTTGAACTTAATCCTAGACACACGAGTAAAGAAACCAACTTGGACTCGGTAGTTTTTAGACAGGTATGTAACCGTTGTAAAACACGGCAAAAATAAAGTTAGAATAGTTATGTATAACGTCATCACTTATACTCGTAGTTTTATAATACGTGGTAGAGCCGTGCTGCAGTTATATTAGTAGTATAGTTGTAGCACGAATGGGTCGGCTCGACCGGAGAAGGACCACGCTCTCACAGAGTACCAGCGTAAAATAGTAGCTTAATGCTGCTGTATTTCGTATGGTAAGTGTAGAGAACCGGAGACCCTATAAAATATTTTTGCGGAGACCCTATAAAATATCTTTGCGGAGACCCTTTTAACTGGAAACGAGGCATTCCATCTTAGTCCTCACGGACTACACGCATCCGCATTTTGATTCGTAATCGAGGATAGATTTAGATGTCCACAGCAACCACTTACCATCCCGTGGACTGTGTGCTCGTTTGTCACCCTATCCTAAAAAAATTTTTCTTGGGTTAAATATCTCACGCAAACAAGTTAACGGACTACAAAAATAAAATTGTGTTAGGAGGATTTCAAATGTTTGTTAGATGAGTGCTAAGGCGATGTATTTATTTCAGATGATATAGCAGACGAAGACGCAATGATTGACCTCTATCATGAACTGTTAAAAAGAATCGAGAATAGCATTAAGGATATACTGCAGTACGCCTCGGTAAGTAAAATTTAACATTCCAAATGATGGTGATCATCATTATTATTATTAGCACCCATCACAAGTCCACTATTGAAAATAGGCCTCTCCCACAGAATTACACAAAGAACCTGTGTCACCTGCATACATCGACTTCCTGCATCTCTTCCCGTCGTTCTTCGACGTCATTTCATCTTCCTACACTTCGCTTACCTTTGCGTTATGTTAGTTACTCAGATTCTCCTGTGATTTTTTTATAGAATGGGGTGACAAACGAGCACACAGTCAACCTGATGGTAAGTGGATGCTGTGGTTCATAAACATCTACATTTTTACTTGATTAAGGATCAAAATGCAGATACGTTGTCACTCTTGAGGGCTAGGATAGAATGCCTCGTTTCCAGTAAAAAGGGTCTCCGGTTCTCTACACTCACCACACGAAACACAGCAGCATTGAGCTGCTTTTTTACGCTGGTATTCTGTGAGAGCATGGTCCGGTCGGACACCGGTCGAGCCGACTCATCCATGCTACAACCATAATATAGCTGCAGCTTGGCTCTACCACGTTTAAAACATCCTCATTCGTAGTTTAACGATTATGAACCACTTTTTAAATTTCTAAACATACATACATAATACATAAACACTCACGCCTGTCACCCAGAGGGGTAGGCAGAGACTACAGACTTCCATTTGGCACGATCCTGACACACCTCTCTCGCCTCCTTCACATCCATACACCTACGCATACATGCTCGTCGGTTAAGGGTACTCGTAATTTGGCCCGTTTTCAATAAATCGCCAATTTGGTCGATAAATTTTCGCCTAGGACGTCCCTTTCCGACTCTGCCATTCACTTCTGCAACATAAATTTTCTTTGTCACTCTTTCCTCATTCATTCTTTCCACATGACCAAACCACCGAAGCATTCCTTTCTTAATCCTGGTCACAACATCATCTTGCAAACCACACTCTTCTCTTATTACACAATTTCTCACCCTGTCATTCAGATTCAGCCCTAACATAGTCCTTAACGACCGCATTTCTACTGCGTTCATTCTACTCTCGTACTTTTTCTGCTACACCCAACTTTCACTACCATACGTTAAAGTAGGGATCAACACAGCATATCGAATTGCCATACGTGCCTTTTTCGACACAAATTTCGAAATTATAGATATTTCATTAATTAATCATTAATTGATATATAATCATTAGAATTGGTTTAAATACATTAATATGTTTATAAATTGATGCTAAAATATGAAGTAAATACATTTTACTCTAAACTGTTAAAACCATAATATACATTTTTATGTCGTCAGAAATATGAAAAATACACACCGCTATGGATGGAAGATAGGCAAGAAGTTTTATCTGGTTTTCTAAAGTACGGTCGCGTAATACCACCAGAGGAATTCGACAAATATCAATTTGAAAACGGTTGCGACCCTCCAGAAGCCAGACCGACGCTTGAAGAGTATCAAAAAGAGGTTTTATTTTCATTTCAATTTTTTTGCATTACTAACTTTTTTATTATAAAAAAATTCACAAGCTACCTCAACTAAAAATTCTATAAAGGCGATAATTTGTTGGTGAAGTCACATTTGAAAATTATCTTTAAGTTTTAATAGCTTCACAAAACCGACCAATCTGTTACCAAACGGTTCATTGGGGGACACCTCCTTTTTTTTGGAAACATTTGCTTTTATTGTCACTTTCGTTAGTAGGGTTGGCAATCAGGACGAGAGTGGATCTTGTATTTTGGAACTGGTAAATTTAAATAACTATGCGGTTCCTGAGAATGTATTTCAGATGTATCCAGATTTGAAAGGATTTTATTTCTTAAATAGCACCAGTTGCTGCTTTGTATTAGTTTTATCACGTAAAAGCTGACTTTAATACCACTTGACATGTCATATGTCTAACAAACTAAGAAATGGTTTTCCAAAGTGTGCGCCACGGCATCGTGGTGTGGACACTAAAGTTATGTATTCGTGGGTAGAAAATAACCTGGATTTTCAGCTGTAGCTGTAATAAAGAGCAAATATCGCTCCAATATTAATTGGAGCAAGAAATAAGAGTCGGGGTGACACAAACTTGACAACTTTATCCCATGCTTTGAAAAATGTGTAGAGTTCACCAAGCTCACACGTCATTTTAATTAAGGTGCCTTTGTATTTTATTTCCTATTTTTCAAAACTCTACCTAGTACCCTATTTTGTCTACCTAGGGCACCCATACAAAATACTAAACCTGTTAGTGCGCCGCGAACTAAAATGGTTGGGAACCCCTGCAAAAAGAAGTTTTCCTTGAACGTCTCAGCGGATCTATTTTGTTCATTAATTATTAACTGATTTCGTTAACTATTTGGAAGTATTGTTCTTAATCAGATCATCTAATTAGTTTATCATCAAATTATTTTAGATCGACAAGTTCAACATTTTATACGATGAAGTAGCCGCACTGCCGTCCGAGTACTTGTGCAACGGCTGGCTGAAGCTCGACCTGAAGAGACTTAACCAGGCTATTATGAACATCGTATGCAAGTGGAGTAATCTCTACAAGCAGAATCTGAAGGATCACGTACATACCAGGTTGTATATTTTTTACTTAATAAATGTGTCACCCTGGGATGTTCTTAGGTTATATTTAGAAGAAGTACTATTCGTATTCATCGACTTCCTTCATGTCTTACCAGGTTCTCACTCCATCTAGTGAGAAGCCGTCCCACACTTTGCCTACCGGTACGAGGCTGCCACTCGAGCACCTTTCTTCCCCATAATTAATTCCCTATGCAGGTGGCTCAGGACTGTGCTTTGCGGCATTTCTTAACGGAGGTCATTGTTCACCGGTGGACTAGTTAAGAGCTGTAATGATGATGATGAATATTATTCGAATTCGTGGAAATTAAGTTTATTTATCTAATGAACCACTTTGAATAAAACTAAATTTACGGATTTTATCGCGTTTATTTCAATACTTTTATTTATTTTTAATTCCCGACGTTTCGGGTGCTTTACAGCAACCATGGTCACGGGGGGGGGGACTGAAATGTTTGACGTCCCAATGTCATAGTTAGTCCGGCTACCTTCAGTTTTTGAATATTAATTTTTGGTCCGATTTACGCAAAACGAGCTTATAGTATCATGAAGTCTTGCAGTGGTATGCTTAGGTTTGGGTTTAATTTTGTTAATTATAGGATCCCAAGCAGGTGGCAGCACCCATCCATCTTCTCTATTGAAATTTGGATATTTTTTAATTTCAATAGCCTCGCGTATCATCCTTGGTAGGAATTGGTGTTCTTTTGCGAGAATTTGTGGTTTATCAAAACGAATGTAATGGTGGGGACGATCTTGAACATGTTCGCAGACTGCAGACTTCCCGGAGCGTCGGTGCTTCACGTCAGCTATATGTTCTTTCACGCGGGTTTTTATGGATCTTTTTGTTTGACCTATGTAAGAGAGACCACATTCACAATCTAACTTGTACACTCCTGCATCTTGTAGAGGGATATTACACTTGACGGATGGTAAAAATTGACTAATCTTCTTCGGCGGCTTGTAGTATGTTTTAATAGAAGCTCGCTTCAAGATGTAGCCAACCTTGTCTGTGACTCCTCTGACATATGGTAGCACAGCAGGTACACGCTCGACTGTGGCCGGCTTCACTCGGTCACTGTGACGTAGGCGCGGGACCCGAAGCTTGTTGTCTTGCAATACTTGCTTGACGTGCTGAAGTTCGGCGGCCAGATGTTTTCTGTCACAGATCCCTCGTGCTCTCTGAAACAAAGATTTACCCACGGTAGCTAACTGTGAAGGATGATGGTGAGATTCACCATTTAAATATCGGTTTGTATGGGTCTTTTTTCTATACACAGTGTGACCAATTGTGTTATTAGGATTTCGAATGACTAAAACATCTAAGAAAGCTAAAGAATTATTTGCCTCTAACTCCATTGTGAATTGTATTTTAGAGTTTATAGAGTTAAGGTGGTTTAAAAATGCAGTTACTTTGTCAGATGGTAAAATTGTGAAAGTGTCGTCTACGTACCGCTTGTAGAATCTTGGATTTACAGGAGCAGTAAGAAGGGCTTTCTCCTCGAAGTCTTCCATGAATATGTCAGCGACTATGGGAGATACAGGTGAGCCCATCGCCACACCATCTACTTGCTTGTAGAACTCTTCCTTCCACAATAGATAGCCAGATGTGAGGCAGTGTTTGAGTAATACTGCATATTCAGCAGGCATGTTATTATATTCTAGCTTCCTAGTTACAATTGATATGCAGTCTTCAATAGGTAGGCATGTGAATAGTGACTGAACGTCAAAACTGACCATAGTTTCATTGTCAGCGAGATGTAGGTCTTTTATCTCACTAACAAAATGGTATGAATCCTTTGTGTGTGCTCTGGTATGTCCTCTCAGTGGTGACAGTACTTTTGCCAAGTGTTGTGCCAGCTTATAAGTTGGTGAATCGATCTGGCTCACTATAGGACGTAGTGGAGCGTTTGGTTTGTGTATCTTTAGTAACCCATACAACCTCGGTGGTTTGGTACATGATGGTATTAGCGAATTCACGTCGAGATTTAATTTTTCGGAGTGTTCCTTTATTAAATCGCTAGTTGATTTAAGCGTGTTAGTTGTGGGGTCTGTTTTGACCTTTTTGTATGTACTTTCGTCCGATAAAAGCTGTAGTATTTTAAAATTATACTCTGACGTGTCCATTATTACCGTAGCATTTCCTTTATCCGCGCGGAGAATCGTTAGATCTGGTCTGTTCCGTAAGTTAATCAACGCTGTAAATTCGTCTTTAGGAAGGTTTGGTTTCGGCACTGAACTACGACGTAACAAGGACGAAATATCTTGACGTATAGCCTCCAAATCTTCCTTACCAATATTATTTTTAAACAGACAATCCTCAACGCTACAGATAATTTCTTCGTACGGGATTTTTTCGCGGTGTTAACGCGAAATTCATTCCCTTCGCTAACACCTTTATTGTTGGTTCGTCCAGTGTATGTTTTGACAGATTATAGACCGTGCGTTGTTTATTGTTTGCGTCTGTGGTCAACGGTTGTGTTTCGTTCTGACGTTGACTTAGATGGTTGGCATTTGATTTGATCGTTAATTTTTGGTATTTTTCTATTTGTTTATTTCTGCATTCATTGTATTTTGCTGTTTCTCGTTTGTTTAAAGTTTCGATGCAATTATTAAAATCAAATGTCGTTAAAACTGTCTTTAGTTCACTGAACAAATTGTCTATTGTGTTGTTTATGAAATGTAAATCGAACCGTTTCTGCTCAATCACCGTTCGTAACAACTTTTTACTTGCCTGATTTAAGATCTTTGCGCTTCCTCGAATGTCCTTTTTTGTTGATAATTTGACACACGTAGGAATGAGATTATGGTCTCTGCATCTCTTCAAGAAATTTAAAGATGTTATATATCTTGCGCGCTTGGTTTTAAGATCTTCTAATCGGCGAATTTTATTTGCTATTACCAGTCCGTACTGGTTCACATAATGATTTTTTAAATTTACGCGAACACTACACTTTGAATAAAACTAAATTTACGGATTTTATCGCGTTTATTTCACTACTTTTACTTATTTTTAATTCCCGACGTTTCGGGTGCTTTACAGCAACCATGGTCACGGGGGGGGGGACTGAGATGTTTGACGTCCCAATGTCATAGTTAGTCCGGCTACCTTCAGTTTCCAGATCACATTCATTCACAGATCCCTCGTGCTCTCTGAAACAAAGCACGAGGGATATGTGACAGTAAACATCTGGCCGCCGAACTTCAGCACGTCATGCAAGTATTGCAAGACAACAAGCTTCGGGTCCCGCGCCTACGTCACAGTGACCGAGTGAAGCCGGCCACAGTCGAGCGTGTACCTGCTGTGCAACCATATGTCAGAGGAGTCACAGACAAGGTTGGCTACATCTTGAAGCGAGCTTCTATTAAAACATACTACAAGCCGCCGAAGAAGATTAGTCAATTTTTACCATCCGTCAAGTGTAATATCCCTCTACAAGATGCAGGAGTGTACAAGTTAGATTGTGAATGTGGTCTCTCTTACATAGGTCAAACAAAAAGATCCATAAAAACCCGCGTGAAAGAACATATAGCTGACGTGAAGCACCGACGCTTCGGGAAGTCTGCAGTCTGCGAACATGTTCAAGATCGTCCCCACCATTACATTCGTTTTGATAAACCACAAATTCTCGCAAAAGAGCACCGATTCCTACCAAGGATGATACGCGAGGCTATTGAAATTAAAAAACATCCAAATTTCAATAGAGAAGATGGATGGGTGCTGCCACCTGCTTGGGATCCTATAATTAACAAAATTAAACCCAAACCTAAGCATACCACTGCAAGACTTTATGATACTATAAGTTCGTTTTGCGTAAATCGGACCAAAAATTAATATTCAAAAACTGAAGGTAGCCGGACTAACTATGACATTGGGACGTCAAACATCTCAGTCCCCCCCGTGACCATGGTTGCTGTAAAGCACCCGAAACGTCGGGAATTAAAAATAAGTAAAAGTAGTGAAATAAACGCGATAAAATCCGTAAATTTAGTTTTATTCAATGTGTAGTGTTCGCGTAAATTTAAGAAATCATTAATGAACCACTGTCATTATATTATAATGCAATTAAGCATTTTACCGTTTGGATGTTAAATAATTTTAAGTAAATTTTTTGAACAATGTCGTTATAGTGACAGTTTAATGTAATCCACCACCATCCAATTTGACTTTGACTTACATCATATCTGAAGCAGGAGATGGGCAGCAGCATTTTCCTGATAACTGTTTAAAATAAATGAAATTACGCTTGCAAACCGGCCCAGCAAGGGTAGCTACTATGGCACATGTCTCCCCTATGAAGCAGTCTATGGGGAGGCCTTTGTTCAAAGTATCAACGACCGCACGACCGCGAAGTGTCATAACCTAATGGTTATCCATTGCACTAAGAAGTCGACCATATGTACCTTAAGTGGGTAATTAGTTTCTCTATAGATTGAGATTATTTAACAGGCGTTCCCGATATTTACAGTGAACGATTTACTGACAGAATTCACTTCTCACCTCTAAACTGTATTACTGTATTGTAATGTCTTCAACTTACTGAGTACGTAGGAACGTAGTACGAACGTAGCCCTTTTCATAGCTCTCTTACCAATTCGTAGCTAAACGCCGCAAAAGGGCGGACTACAAATTAAAAATAATAGATTTAATGGAAAACTACGAATACGATTAATTTTCTGATGAAGAAAAGCTAGCAGTCGGACAATAATAAATATTTTCTTACTCTCCTGTAATTTTTAAAAAATTGGGGTTCGCCTCATTGCGATGTTAGCGACAAATTATGACTCTACGGCTGGAGCTGTCAGGAAAATAACATACCTAAGCAACACTAGACTAATTGTTATGGGTACCGAACCTATCAGTGAAAAGCTTGACTGCCCCATACTGGGGCACTGGGTGTATACTCACACACATTTTCGCGCAGTGCATGTAGATATTTAAATTAGAATTTAAACCAGATATTTAAACTATTAGAATTAATTATTAAAGTAAAATTCTAAGAAATGTTAACAACATAGTTTTTAAGATCTCTTTTTTACTACTAACAATATGGACAAACGTCTGAAATAAATCAATTTTATTTAAAAGTTATGGGCTTTAAAACACCATTTTACTATTATCTTTTACCACTTCTATTACTATAAGCTCAGTTAGAGTTGAGGTTAGTATAGCATAACTGTATTATATGAAAAGACTTTTATCCATGTTACTGTAAAATAGCCTCGACGAGTTGGAGAAGTTCATCGAATACGCGATGAAGGAGCTATCGGTGGAGTTGGCCGAAGATGACTACGATGGGTTACTTAAGGTGATGGAGGTCTTGAGCGAGGTTCGCGCCAAGCAGGATGCCGGCGCTGAGCGAATGTTCGAGCCTCTGCGCGACGTCATGTATTTGCTCAAGGAGTACGGCGTCGAGTTCCCGGAGGAGACTTACGAACAGGTAATATTTATGTAAGAAGCGCTAGGTTTGAGTAATAAAGTGTAAGCAACTAAATGAATTTTCCAGTAACTAACCTCACCTAAACGCAGTTCAGCTGCAGGCAGCAACAACAGTGCATTATCAGTGTAGAGAGTTTGAGCAAAATTATCATTTGTATATCATAGATTTTACGTGGTAGAACCACGCTGCAGATATATTATGGTTGTAGCATGAATGAATCGGCTCAACTGGGGTAGGACCACGCTATCACTGAATACTAGCGTGAAATAGCAGTTTAATGCTGTTATGTTTTGTAAGATGAGTGTAGAGAACCGGAGACCCTTTTTACTGAAAACGAGGCATTCCATCTTAGTGCTCGGGGGTGCCAACGCATCTGCATTTTGATTCTCAATCGAGAATAAATGTCTACGGGCCACAGCCCTTTCACCATCAGGTTCACTGCGTGCTCGTTTGTCACCCTATTCTTTTTAAAAAATAGTTTTTTATAGAATAAGGGTGACAAGCAAGCACACAGTCCACCTGATGGCAAGTGGATGCTGTGGCCCGTGGACATTACATTTGTCCTCGATTAAAAATCAAACCGCAGATGCGTTGTCACCCTTGAGGACTAAGATGGAATGTCTTGTTTCCAGAAAAAAAGGTTCTCGGAATCTCTACACTTACCATACGAAACACAGACGTATTATGCTGCTATTTTACGCTGGTATTCTGTGAGAGCGTGGTCCTTTCGCGGTCGTGACAACCAATTCGTGCTACAACCATAATATAGCTGACTCTACCACGTATAAAATTTGTAATCAAGAAATTTGTAATTTACTATATTTTTCTTTCTATATTCAGCAGTGGTTGGTTATTTGATTTGTTTTGTGTCATTAGAGAATATGTACAATATATGAAGTAAGTTGGTTATGTGAGTTACATAAATAATTACTTTGAACTTTGTATTTATATTTCAAATGTTTGTGCATTACCGTTCTTGCTTTCGTATTGGAAAAGGACAATCCGTCACAGCGACAATACTCCGTTTATACGTTGGTGAGCAAATTTGTGGTTATTACAAAGTTGTTTTTATTTTATTTTATTATTTTTATAAATAAATGTTACCAAGGAATATGCTAGGGTTGAATTTGAAAATGACAGGGTGAGAAATTGCGTGATAAGAGATAAATGTGGTATGCAAGATGATGTTGTGACCAGGATTAAGAAAGGAATGCTTCGGTGGTTTGGTCATGTAGAAAGAATGAATGAGGAAAGAGTGACAAAGCAAATTTATATGGCAGATGTGAACGGCCGAGTCGGGAGGGACGCCCTAGAAAAAAGTTTATCTGGCGATATTTTGAAAATGGGCCACGTTATAAGTACCCTTAACCGACGAGCATGTATGCGTAGATATATGGATGTAAAGGAGGCGAAAGAGGTATGTCAGGATTGTGCCAAATGGAAGTCCGTAGTCTCTGCCTACCCCTCTGGGTGACAGGCGTGAGTGTTTATGTATTATGTATGTAAATATTACCAACAAAGTAGGACTCAGCGGCGGTTTATATACATAAATCTTACAAGGATACACACAGTTTGCAAACATAAGTTGCAAGAGGATAAAAATACGAGTATTACAAATAATTGTTCGTAACCGATAATACGACATACCACGTAAACGGAAAATAAACCCAGGTTTTTTCCCGGGAAAAAGATAACCAATTGTTAATTAAATAAAAACACTTTTAAAATGTATTAAGTACTTAATAATTTACACATGTTATTGAATACAAATGTTTTATTCTATTGTAGAATTTCTTTGGTGTCGGCGAGGATTTAACCCGGCTTACTCGAGTACATACTATGAAATTTTCAGGGAGGGTGGTCATCCTCTGAGCTACTGCGAATGTGCTACAAGCACATATTATTTGCGTAAACTTGCATTGTCTGAGATAAAATATGTTTTGGGGATATGACGTCAATTTCACCGTACCATCATCGTATCATCATATCGTATTGGAGCAGGGCTGTGGACTTATCGCACCAGCATGGGTAGCATAAACGATTTTACTTTTACTTATTTATTGATTCTGTTTTATTCTATGCAGTAGTTAAAATGTAATTATTTCGATTCATCGGATTCGACCCTGTCAAAGTAAAGATTTACCACTTACTCGACGGTGAAAGATAACCGACATGTGTGTGAAATAAAAGAAAATAAAAAAAATGTTGTAAATTCTGCTAACATGCTTTGGGTCAGCTCTGCGAACAAGACTTTATTCTATAACATATATATATATATATATATATATATATATATATATATATATATATATATATATATATATATATATAAGAAATAGGAGGTGGCCTGTGCCCTGCTGAGGAACTTAAAAAAAACTATAACTTTACTATACTTGCGATTATAGCTGGACATTCTGCCGGAGAGGTGGCGCAATTTGGTGAAGGTAGCGACGGTGATGAAGAACAACGTCGCTCCGCTCCAGGCAGCGCAGGCCGCACTAATCGCCAAGCGCGTCGCTTTGCTCAATTTACGCCTCACCATGTATCGCGACCAATTTAACAGGAAAGAGGTCTCCGTAAATTGCTTTGTCTTTTGATACATTGTTTTCTTTCGGTTTTGCTCTCTTAGTAGTTTTTTCTCTTAGTTCTAAATGTGCTGCGCGTGCGCGTACGCGTGCGTGTGCGTGTACGTGTGCGTTTGCGTGTGTGCGTGCATGCGTGTCTGCGTGCGTGCGTGCGTGCGTGCGTGTTTTGTGTGTGTGTTGAATTGCGTGTGTGTGTATGTATCAAATGGATGAATTTATACTTTTAACACACATACACACGTGTGGACAAATTGAAAGCTAGCTTAAGAATATTTTTTCATCCAACGTTTGATTCGACGACTTTTAAGTTATGTCATAGATGTTTTCTTCACTTATAGATGTTCCTCGAGACTTGTAAGGAGCCTTACAGGGAAATCGACACGGTGCACCAGGAACTCAACAATTTCGAGGAGATGATGCAAAGTCTGAAAACCTCTTGCGCATTGTTCGACATACAGCCGCCTGATGAAAAGAATCTTAAACAATGCCGCAGGGAGCTAAAGCTTGTTAAGGTATTCACAACAAGATATTATTGTTCATACAACTCTTGTGTTCAACAGCTGTATCATCACTATTACATGAATATACTTTGATAAAACCAACTAACTATTTAGTTAACTATTTCTTTCGACAAAAACATAGTGATAAATATAATTTGTATATAATAGTTTTTCTGTTTCGATTACAAAGATATTCTAATTTGAATTTATATCAACCGTGCAGCAACTCTGGGATTACTATAATCTTGTGATGGGAACTATTGAGTTCTGGAAGAAATCGCCATGGAAAAAGATAGACGCCGATGGTATGGACCAGGAGTGCAAAAGATTCACGAAGGATATACGTCAGTTAGACAAGGATATGAGGTCATGGTGAGTATTTTTATATGTCAGGTCGTAGTTAAAATTTTTCAGAAGTAAACTTACATTTTTTTTAAATAAATTGATTCACGTGCTTTGTATATGTAGAAAGATAATTATAATTATAATATATGGGATTATTACATAAAAGGCTTTTGTAATAGAATAGAATCACTTTTATTCAGTATAGTACTATAACCACTGGTTTAAAGAAAACCTCTGTCCTGGGAAGAACCAGCAAGAAACCCATCAGGACATTTCTTTTAAATAGAATTAATTTACAATATCACTCCATCATAATCTTAGTTACCTGTAGACAGAAAAACATCGTTCGATTATCCTGACAAAAGTTATAAACTTTTACACATTCAGCAATACGTTCTGCTCCGGTCTATATGGAATCTTTGACCCTTCAGGCAATTAGTATTGTACAGGTTCCTTTGAACCCTGCAACACTAATCAGCTTTGGTCCGGCAACATGCCCTTCAAAACTCTTTTATTGTTTCTGCTAGTCCGGAATCACTATTCCCTGTAGCCATATCATTGGATCGGCATAAGCCCTGCAATGCTTTCTCTTTTTTTAATACTGGTTATGCTAGTCCGGAATCACTATTCCCTGTAGTGCCATATCATTGGAGGTTGAGCTAATAGCGGAGTACAATAAGTGAACCGTGCCCCGCCAGAGTCAAGACTGCCCTAACGGCGGCCACTCCGTCCGTTTTATACAAACAAAACAAGTAGTATGTGCCACACGGGCCCCACTTCAGGTGCAACGCGCAGGTGTGCGGCACACGTATTGTTTACAAGAATTCTGGCTAGCTGCAGAGGCGCTGCTGCACGTGCAACGGCGCAGGCGCAGTCATATACGTGTATCCAGTTTCTGCTTATTTAATGACATCTGATATTTCAGGGAACCATATATATCAACAGAAGCAACTATAAAGAATTTAATGACCTCTCTGCGAGCAGTGACAGATTTACAGAATCCTGCCATTAAGGATAGACATTGGATTGAGTTAATGATGGCCACAAAGGTTAATAATAAAGATTCTTATTGTTTTATGTCTTTCCTTTACACCTTTAAATATAAAAATGTTTATTTTCATTTTTCATATAGAAAGCCGCACATTCTCACCTCATATCCATTGCCACCAATCATCGTCACACATCTTTGTCAACCAATTGTAGTCTCAATACTTGTGTTTCCTTCGAGGAGATTCTAAAAGATTTTAAGTCTTTAGAAGATCTGACGGCAAATATTGAATTTCCCAACACTCATAAAAAAAGTGATAGTAAGGCAGATTACGAGAAATATCAAGATTTTAGACGGCCCAAGCTACAAGAGAATCAATATAATACAAACAAAATTTTAAAACTGAACAGAACGTATTCATTGCAAGAAATTAAGGAAAAAGGGTTACAGTTGGAATCAGTCACAAAAGAGGCGTCCCACCAAAAACTTTTTAATAATTCATTGATATTGTCTGAGTTCATACTGTAATAGTGTAAATACAAAATCATAATAATCATACTATTATTATTAAGTACACTTGTTTGTTTTTATTTATAAGCTTTCTGTAGAAATAGAAACATAGTGAAAATCATCGTATTTATGAAAATTCATTAGACTCACTTTAAGGTACGTTTCATTGAATACTTTCGTTTTTCTTCATTTACAAAGAGCTGTTTAAGTAATACATATTCATGATATTCTAAAGGTTAAATTCCACATCGACGACGACACCACGTTAGCTGATCTTCTCGCACTTAATCTTCATAAATACGAAGAAGAAGTAAAAACAATTGTTGATAAATCCGTGAAAGAAGCTGCAATGGAGAAAACTCTCAAGTGGGTCAAGTTTTATTACATTTGTGTTCTGCAATATGTATTCTAGAATGAACTGAGAACATCCCATGGTATACAATAATAAAATAACTTCTATACTATAATAACAAAGTTTATTTCTACTTTAATACTAAATTATATTACATCTTTAAATATCATAAATTTATTTATATAGGGCTGTTTTCACATATTTTCTTATTTCCCCACCCGCCTTACTATAAACAATAAAGTAAAGAAAAACTATTATTTTATTTAACTGTAACTGTGTACTTCGTATTAGAATTCTGATATAATATTTAAACATTATAACACTGAAACTACTTGACCTAAGGCAATAAATTTTAGTATTTCTATTAGATGATATCCCTACCTCCTCCTTCCCTTCTCTATCGCCATTATTACATTGGTCCACTATTTAAGGCACACCCGATATATCGTAATATATCTTTCTAAGAGCCATGGTAGCTCAAGGCCTATGCGCTCACAGTAAATTTCACAGTACGCGAGCAGCCCCGGGTGTAATCCCTGCCAGCACTAATGAAATTGTTAACTGCAATTTTCAGTGCTGATTTACCACGTGCTCGGTGATGACGAAATACTTCGAATAATTAAAAACACACGTGGCTAAGAAATAATTAAAAAATATTTCTTAGCCATGTGAAGTTGTCCAACATCCTGTCCTCTCCGCAACTCTTTCTGCTGCATACAAGTTGTGCTGTTTTCTGCGTACTTATATACTCGTATGCACGGTATGAGTAGGTCGTTGTAGAAATATATTGGTCTGCTCAGGCCAGTCGGGATCAAATCCTAAAATAGTAGCTATGTTTTAGCGAGTGAATCACTCACTACAAGCAGTCTCCGAATGGGGCGATGCCGATTTTGTGAAAGACTTCTAAACACAAACGTGTCTCTTTACCGCAAACAATAGGCAGTTCACCATGGCTTTTATTCTCAAATATATCATTGGAATATATCGGTTGTTGGAAAGTGAGATTTCCTTGATCCTGAACTTTAGTAGTGAACTTTACTAGAGTAGTTAATTAAGTTTATGGACAAATAAGCTGCAAGGAAGTTATATGTCCTTAGAAAGGTGCTGTCGTACTTCTCAGTAGGACAGCTGCTTACATTATATAAAGCGCAGGTCCAGTCGTGCATTGAGTATTTGCTGCCGTATTAAATCGGTTGGTGCTGCAAAATGCCACCTAGCGGCTTAGGAAAGAATGCTAACAAGGTTATTTGTGATACCAATATCGTCTTGAGAACATAAACAAAGTAACCAGTCTTTTTACATGATGTAATTCGGAGTTTACGTACGAATTGCTGAATAACTTTATTAAGGTCATACCTCGAAAATTTGGTGGTTTTTCTATTTGACATATTTTTATGTTTTATAGATTACTATATATGACATTATAGCACTAACACTATATATGACATGATAATATTATATGACCTTGGATTGCATGAAAAGAAAACACGATATCATGTAATTTTCTCGATAGAAAAAAATTGCAAAGTAGACTCTAATTATTTACACGTCTCCATGACACCACAATATTCTTACGAATAAGTTCATGGAATTATTTTTAAGGCATAGTAAATAATCATATATAAGTTCTCATAAATCAGTTTTTAATCCATAACGAAGTTTTGTTAAAATAAATAAAAATGTTGTTTGGCGCTTACATAGTTTTTTTCCGAACGCTTGCTCAGTATGGCTATCTCATAATTTGCGTAATATGCGGCACCATGCGGCAGCTTTGCTGTTGCACGTATGGACCGGCTTAAACCAGGGTGGTACCACGACCTCACAGAATACCGGCGTGAATTGGAAGCTCTACTTCCGCGTTTCGTCCGGTGAGTGCTGGTGGCCGGAGGCCCAAATCCCCCCCCCCTCCCCATAAAAATGGTAGCGGAATTAAATGATGATAGACTACCCCAGGAGGGTACTAGCACCCCTTGAGAATCCCTCACTGAGCATCCACGACCATGTTTCTCCACTTCTGAGCGTGGGTGCTCAGGCTGCCCCGCGTATTCTGGGGGAGAGGGGGCAAAATTCTGCTCAAGACTACAAATGCTCGGGGCAAACGGAGCAACAAGACCAAGGCGACCCCTGCCACGCTGTCCGTGAATTTCTGCAATATCAGGGGAACTACTCTACTAACCTAAACGCCGTCTACTACCATCTTGAGACGGCGAGGCCGGCTCTTCTCTTTCTGACCGAGACGCAGGTGTCCTCGCCGGCTGATGTCTCGTATCTCTCCTACCCGGGGTACAAACTGGAACACTCCTTTGTGCCTCGGGCTGGAGTTTGCGTTTACGTCAGAGAGGACATCTGTTCCCGACGCCTCGGCAGACTTGAAGGTTCGGACCTGTCCATCCTTTGGCTACGCGTAGACAGCGACGACCATCCGCGCGTCTACGAGTTCCTCTATATGTCCCATAGCGGTAATGCCGTAACAGACCGACTCTTCGACCACGTCCAAATGGCTACAGATTCGTTGCTATAGCAGATCCCCTCCGCAGAGATCGTGATCATCGGCGACTTTAACGCCCATCACGCCGAATGGCTTGGTTCACGTTAACCCGTTCATGCGGGGAGATCTGTTCATGATTTTGCCTTGGCATATGGTCTGACACAACTGGTTACTTCGCCTACGCGGATTCCAGTTGTGAAGGATCATGCACCTTCCCTGTTGGACCTTCTGATGACCTCTCACCCGGACGGATATCAGATTTCCGTCGACGCCCCTTTAGGCTCCTCGGACCATTGTCTTGTCCGGAGTGTGGTGCCACTCACGCTGAAATCGTAGTTGCATTCTGCAGGCCGCCACCGTGTTTGGCACTATAGGTCAGCCGATTGGGATGGGATGCGGTCTTTCTTCGCATCCTACCCTTGGAGGCGGGTTTGCTTTTCGCCGGACGATCCCAGCGTCGTTGCGGATTCTGTCGCTAATGTGGTACTTCAGGGTATGGAACTCTTTATTCGTTTCTCTGTGGTGCCCATTGGAGGCAAATCTCAGCCATGGTTTGGTCGCTCCTGTAAAATAGCATCATGCTATAAGCAGGAGTGCTACCAAGCTTGGGCTGACGCATCAGCGTCCCGGGATGTAAACACCAGTGTTCTAAAAAAGAAGTATAATTCCGCCTCTAAGTCCTTCAAAAGAGTCATTGCCAAGGCAAAGTCAGAGCACATAGGCAGAATTGGCGAGTCTGGTCTCTCGCCAAGGCTGTTCAGGGGAAATTTCTGTCAGCCATCTCTTCCACCTCTGCACAGGGAGGACGACTCACTGGCCCATACCGCAAAGGAGAAAGCCGATCTTCTAGGCTCTTTCTTTGCGTCCAACTCGACTCTCGATGACGGGGGGAGTACGCCGCCGACCATCCCGCGGTGTGAGTGCTCCATGCCGGAAGTGCAGTTAACACAGCGCTCGGTTCGCAAAGCACTCCTCTCCCTGGACATCCACAAGTCGAGTGGGCCTGACGGAATCCCCCAACTGTGCTGAGGACGTGTGCTAAAGAGTTGGCACCGGTTTTAACGCGTCTTTTCCGGTACTCCTACTCCCTAGGTGTAGTCCCAAAATCATGGAAGATGGCTTTCGTCCACCCGATCCCTAAAAAAGGCGACCGCTCAGACCCGTCCAACTACCGGCCTATCGCCATCACCTCCTTGTTCTCCAAAACAATGGAGTCCATTGTAAACTGCCAGCTCATGAGGTACCTTGAGGATCAACAGCTGATTAGTGACCGCCAATACGTTTTTCGCTGTGGTCGGTCAGCTGGTGATCTTCTGGTCTACCTAACTCACAGATGGGCGGAGGCAGTAGAGTCCAAGGGGAAGGCATTGGCCGTTAGTTTGGACATTGCGAAGGCCTTCGATCGGGTTTGCCTCTTCTTTTTTAAAAAAAAATAAGGGAAATGGGCGTTACGAAATCATTGCACCCTGGTTCGAGACCTGTCTTCAGTTAAATATTTTAATACTCAATTTAATATTATAATACTAGTTGTCCCGGTATACTTTATTCTACCCTTTCTGATAGGTGGCGCAATTAGTTTTAACTTCGAATTCACTTTGGACTTTTACTGTGTAAATATTATATGATAACCTTTAATAAAAACTCTTGGTAATGCGCCAGATTTTGATTGTGATTATGAGTTATTTTAGTTCAAAAATATAGGATTTGTTAATAGATCCTGAGATAGCTATGAACTATCGTATCGAGAATACAAATATATTGTGAAAATATACTAACAGATGCACTAAGGGTTTTATTTTATTAGTGCTTAACTTCTATCCCTTTTCACTTTTGTTTTATAGACACTATCATTGTAATCGGATGGTAAAACAGATGCTGACAAATTTCCACTCGTTTGTTGCACGCATGTCAAACAACGGAGAAAACCGTCGACTACAAAGGGATGAAGCTACCTGAGCGTATGTTAGTTCGATGAGAACGGAAATAGATTAAGAGGATACCTTGAAAATGAATCGAAGTTTTGGGGGCGTGGCTTATTCCTTTGTCGGTGAAACTAACGGACGACTGCGGGAGTGTCAAAATGAAAGTGATGCAATGATATATATATATATATATATATATATATATATATATATATATATATATATATATATATATATATATATATATATATATATATATACAAGAATTGGATAGGATAACGCTATCGCTTATTTGTGTTATTATAATTTAGTTTCAAGATTTTTTTTCATTAAAAATTAATTGAATGAATTGCGTTTAATTTAGGGAGTTGGAAGCAACTTGGGCTGTTATGGAATTTGAATACACAACACACGATCGAACCAATCTTCGCTTACCGAGGGCTAGTGAGGAGCTTATAGAGATTTTGGAGGATAATCAAGTAAGTATGTTATTTATCGGATCAGTGGAGAAGACTAATTAATTGGTTCAGTAGGTTTTTTTTCGTTTATTTTATTAGTCTAGTCAAAATTAAAAACAATGTAAGTCATCATCATCATTATAACAATTCTTGTGAAGGATCCTAACTCAAATGATGAACTTCTCCAAGAAACGCTACAAAACCTTTTTTTTTTTAAATAAATGCGGAGGCGTTTGACCTACATATGTACATATGAACATTCAGACCCGGATCATATATTTGTAAGCCCATACAAGACCACGCTCCCTCAGAATACCAGAGTGAAAAAGCAGCTTAATGTTGTTGCGTATGGCCTTTACCGGCCTGACCTTTTACTGGTAACGACGTATTCTTAAAGGTGACAACGTATCTAAATTTTGATTCTAAATCGATAATAGATGTACCTAAGTGTCTTTGGGCTGTAGCATCCACCATCATGTGCTCGTTTGTTACTCTTATACTATAAAAATATTCCGTACAGGTCAGCTACTGGGCCGTTCTGCAGTGGTGTTGCGTTAGATGGATAGTTTTAGCATTTTTTTAATAGGATAGGATGACAAACGAGCACACAGTCTATCTAATGGTAAGTGGTTGCTGTGGCCCATAGACATCTACATCTATCCTCGATTACGAATCAAAATGCAGATGCGTTGTCACCCGTGAGGACTAAGATGGAATGCCTCGATCCCATTAATAAGGGTCTCCGGTTCTCTACACTCACGATACGAAACACATTTTTATACAGCATTAATATACTATTTACGCTGGTATTCTGTGAGAGTGTGGTCCTTCCCCGGTCGAGCCTACCCATTCGTGCTACAACTATACTACTAATATAACTGCAGTATGGCTCTACCACGTAAAAACGTACTGCACTATTATTTTGTTGTTTTGCCCGTTAGAACCAAGTGCAAAATATGATGTCGTCTAAGTTCATCGGGTACTACGAGGAGGAGGCGACGGCGTGGCAAAAGAAGCTCGGCACCGCGGACGCGGTCATCGCGCTCTGGTTCGACGTGCAGCGCAAGTGGCAGTACCTCGAGAGCATCTTTGTAGGCTCTGATGATATACGCGCTCAGCTACCGGAAGATTCCAAAAGATTCGACAGCATTGATAAAGTTTTTAAGGTACGCATGAGAACTTGAGAAATGCAGAATCTGCACACGTCAGACGTTTAACGAGGAAATATATCAACTTTATAAGTATGATGAGTTAGACATCAAAGTACTAGTGTTGGGGAACAATGGGTATAACCATTACTAGGGTATCGGATCTGCGCTATGAACTCATTTACAATCTTGGCGAATAGCGTACTTTACTGATTTAAAAAGCCAATGGTGAAGTAGATAGGAATGGTAAAGAATGCCTGGCATGAAGTCCATTCATTGTGATTTTATAACCCTTAGTTTAATTCATCTGATATCAGATTACATCCTCGTAAACGATTGCGTTGAAAACCGACTTTCAAAAACTATAGGCTAAGTGACGTTATTAGTATCAAAACTTATGGCGGCTTACTGTGTGAAATTTATTGTATTGTATAATATTTTTCAGGAATTGTTAAAAGATATCGGTACCACACCTAACGTTGTAGAAGCAACTAACAAACCGGGACTGTTGGACAAGCTTGAAGAACTTATGCAAGAGCTTAACATCTGCGAGAAAGCTCTTAACGATTACCTGGAAACCAAACGATTAGCCTATCCGAGATTTTATTTCGTTTCTTCTGCAGATTTGCTGGGTACCTTTTTAAATTACTATATAATAATAGAAAGTTGTATGCTACTCATTCATTTTGTCTATGTTACCAATATTTTTCCCTACTAACTCTCATCGCTAATCGGTAACTTTTCTCCTACTCACGTTCATGGATAGATATATTTGTTTTAAACAATAATACAAAAAAGTACTAAGCATTGATTAAATTTACTATAATTAATGTTCTAATATTATAATATTGAAGTAAGGTAGGACGCTCAATAGAATACCAGTGTGGCACTTTGTTTTAATCTAAGTATAGAGAACAGAAAACCCTTTTTACTGGTAATGAGACATTCTATCTCAGTCCCAAGGGATGACAACGCATCTGCATTTTGATTCTTAATCGATAGTACTGACAGAAGTACATTTCACAACATACGCCACTTTTTTTATAGAAGAGGGGGCAAACGAGCATGCGGCTAACCTGATGTTAAGTGCCTACCGCCGCCCATGATCAACCGCAACATCAGGGAAATCGCAGGTGCGTTGCCGGCCTTTTAGAAAGGAGTAAGCGCTTTTCTTGAAGGTCCCCAGGCCGTATAGGTCCGGAAAAAACTTGCCATCGGGTGGACAATGAGCTCGTTTTTCGTCCTTATTCTACAGTAAAGGATTTATAGTTATTATTTTATATTATTTATAATTAATCGATTCATTCATTCATCGACTCTCTGCATGTGCATATTTTATAGTTATTATTTTATATTATTTATAATTAATCGATTCATTCATTCAACGACTCTCTGCATGTGCATATTTTATAGTTATTATTTTATATTATTTATTATTAATCGATTCATTCATTCATCGACTCTCTGCATGTGCATATTTTATCAGGTTGTCACACAATTTAGTAAATGGAAACCCTTCACTGCGCTTGCTGGTACGAACCTATCATTCAAAAACCTTTCTTCCTTTTCGTTTTGTTTTGACGGATAACCCTTTAATTACTGTTCGTAAGTTATCTGTTACTCTGGTTTTACTGAGATTATCTTTGTTATGGAATCTAAAATAAGACATCAAGAACGTCTTTATAAAATGCACTAAAAATGATTTAAAATTTGGTTTTTAATATGACAAAGTTTTTCTGTTTCGCAACAACCATTTTTAATAATTAACTTTGTTCCATCAGAAATTCAACTTATACCTCCACGTATACAAACGCGGATTCTGCTGATTTTTATAGTACTCGTATATCTACGAATATGTGTGTATAAAAGTTCGTACATAGTGATCTTCTTCATTTTCGTGAAGACACACTTTGTGCACACGAGACGCATATTTGCGTTATAAACTCCTTATTCTCATTTGATTTAGCAGTTACATTCCTAAAACACTAAAAAAAGATCCTCCAATCAGTGTAACTTATCTAATTTGGTCTTTAACCTCTAGTTATGATGAAGCTAAATAATGTGAGCAGGCTAAATTGCATCTACCTATGCCTATCTAAGTCTTATTATTTATTTTTAGTATGTAGAAACACATTGTGACGATCGATAGTATTTATGTGATTCTCTAATAATATTTTTAGACATATTATCGAATGGCAACAATCCGCCGGCAGTGTGTCGCCACCTCCCTAAGCTGTACGATAATCTTGCTAAGCTGGTGTTTCCCAGCGCCACAAGTAAAGTAGCATATGAGATGATATCCAAAGAGAATGAGGAGCATGTGCCTTTCAAAGCGCCGTGTTGTGACTGCTCAGGGAAGGTTTGTAGTAAATATATTGGTTTACAAAATATAGTATAGTACGTAGAGGGTAATATAGTCACCCGGTTCATATGGTCACTTTCTTATTACGCAAAAACTACAGCCTTGTTTGCATAAAAGGCTCTGTGATACGATAGCTCTTCATCAGTCAATCAAATAATAAAGAGTCAAAAGGACGATGTTGGTATGGTTTATTGTACTTAATATTTTTAAGTTGATTTTTTGAAGTGTTCTTTTATTTTTTATTTTAACAAGTACACTTACAATACACATATATGACAATCAAGAAAACATACACATTTCTATACTCTCTGATCTGTATATCAATTACAAGTGTACATAAAATTTACGGATTGAGTCGTGCAATTTTGGGTTTATTTGGAGAACAAATATCATTCAATCAATACAATGCAAATTAGAACTATTCAAATAAATTATGTACTTAAATAAAAAAATCTAAAGATAAAAAAACAGGTTTAATTATTAAAGTTGGTAGTATTTAAGGGTATGTATATTTTTAATTTAAGTATAAGATTCTTAATTATTTCTAAATCTTATTTGCTATTATTTTCTTAATATATTAGTTATGGCATACGACTTTGTGTTTTTGTTTTTGTCCTTCTTCTAGTTTTGGTTTTATAGGGCGGCAAAGCTTAAGGTTGCCATATTACCCGCGCATACCTTAATATCTTTTCTGTCTGGGATTAAAATTCTTCATTTATGTTCTGCGCGACGTTTTTTGCTATCTTTCGCTTAGAATTAGTAAACATCTAAAATAAACATGGGCATGGTAAAGTCACATTGTGACAATTATATCTACTCACGAAAACCAAACAGTTGCGTTTTTATCTGTGGTTTAGTTGGCAAGTAGCAGACCACTAAACTAGGAGATAAAAAAAAATATGGATGACTTAAAAACACTGCTTCAAAATCTTTCGCTGTCATTCTTTTGTAAATTGAGACTACATTCATCGTTACTACAGGTTATCAGAAGTCCACCGTTAATCACAGCATGAGGCAGTATGGGCGAGAATAAGGCCGGAGGTATTCAGAAACAATCTCGAGTTTTAACTCATACTTCACATCACAATGTCAAAAGTGTTACATATCTATCAGAAGGTTTAAAGTATTTACTAAGCAAAAATGGTTTAGTAAGGGTTATTATAGAACTAAAGAGTACATGATTTATAATTAATAACCGCTGCGAATGAGGTGATCGCTACCATGCTGTTTCTAAATGTTTTTATAACAATTGTATAAATATTATATTGTAAGTTATTCTTTAAAAAAAAAGTGTCCCACTAGGTTTCTAGCTGGTTTTTCCAAGGACAGAGGTTTTTTCCAAACCAGTGGTGAAAGTAAAACATTGCGAGCCGTCCCGGGACCGGGACGCCTGGCAGATATTAAACTTCGATATTAGTTTGTACTGGTAATATTCATAAAAGGCTACGACAGGAAATAAATATAGCATAGTAAAAAATAAAATTGACTACTTTTGTTTATTTAATTAACATTTATATTCATAAAATACAAAGATTAATAAAATTACAAAAATGAAGAAATACAAAACTTAAAAATTCTACTTTTTTTAAAAAAAATTGAGACAACTGAATTGTTTTAATCAGTGTCTTCAGTAATAGTTGTATTGGATGTTGCCTCTGACGGTATTACTGTGACAATTGGTCGATGATAACTGAAATATGTTATAAAAGTGTAAAAGACATTACATTATCAAGGTATCTATAGCGTGACAACGCGGACAGTCAGTCTGTCTGACCGCCGCTGTAGATGTTTCGCAACAAAAAATGGCTCTCAATATGAGCTACATGTTATCAATATTGATTAAAATGATTCTATTCTATAGTATGGTCTAGGTTTAAGACATTGTGGAGTTTGAAATTAAGCTCGAGATTGTCTCAAAATAACGGCCTAAAGAGCGACATAATCGTGAGGCGATTCATTGACTGTTTGCATCTGTATATCATACATTTACTCGGTAGTTGTGCTAACTTACATATGCTTACAGGTACTTCAATTTACTCTTATACTTGTCTCTCCATGGACTTATTTTTTCTGAATATACGGCCAGTGCATTACCACATCGACTATTGATCTCTTGGGTTCTATAGAATACTCTGATTCACTGATTCTATTACTCAAAGAAATTTATTTTGATATACCGGCCCCCGATTTCCTTCGAACCGTAACTCAATAATTAATACACTGCTCCTTAGCACTAGAAAATATTTACCCAGATGGACTTTTAGGTAGAAAGGGTAAAAGAATGTTTACCATCGACTAAACTATGACACATTCTGGGCTGTAGGTAGAGGTATGGTTGAACCGTGTAACGGATTGCATGCGTTTCACTCTGCGCGATATATTCGAGCACAGCGTGAAGTCATATGAGGAGAAGCCGCGCGACGAATGGGTGTTCGACTGGCCCGCACAACCCGCGCTTGTCGGTACCCAAATATGGTGGACTGCCGAAACTAATCAGGCCTTCGAGAAGTTGGAGGAGGGTGAGTTTGCTGATCTGTAATCTTTAAGTAAAATAACAATCTACAAGTGAAGGACTGCTCGGCACTTTTCCACCGAGTACAAGGTAAATTATTACTAGGTAAGTAGTACTTAGTAGTGTTGGTAGTAGGGCTCTGGTTGATCGTGTATAAAATAATATTTAAGACAAATCGGCTGGACTTGTCAGCTTCAGCTATAACAGTTTCATTATTACTCCAAAACATTATATTAGTTGTTAGTATGGTATAGTAATGAATCCGCTTATTCGAGGGAAAACAAGAAGTTTTCGAATTCACATAATTGAGTAAAACTTTTGCGCGATGGAGGACTTATGTCAATCGCCTTGACGTGTGTGCATCTACTATTTTGTCACCCAAAACGTTTATGGGGCCATACCACTGTCATACACATAGGTCGCGTCGACCGTGGAAGGACCACACTCTCGCATAACATCACCATAAAATAATGGACTCCCCTTTACTGAAAAAGAGGCATTCAACAATATTTTTCAGGGGTGGCAACGCATCTGCATTTTGATTCTTAATCAAGAATAGATGTGGATGTCTATAGGCCACAACATCTACTTACCATCACGTGGACTGTGTGCTCGTTTGTCACCTTAGATCAACATTTGATCGAAGTTTGTCACCCTTATTCTATTAAAAAAATAATGTAAATAAAATTTTGTATTTTAGATGAATATTGTGAATTACTGTTTTAGTTTATATAATAACTAGAAGTTTAAAATATTTACTGAATCAATCTAGTCATGTGACATAAACATTCTTTGAAAGAATGTACTAATACCCTTTGCAATTTTCAATGTGTACTATACTAATAATCTCTCGTACCAAATATTCCATTAATCGTAATCTAGTAAAAGGAATTATGTTTTGGACCAGGTTATGAAAACGCGTTAAAAGACTATCAGAAAAAACAAATCGCACAGTTGAACGCACTAATTGTTCTCCTGTTGGGTGACTTAACGGTCGGGGACCGGCAGAAGATCATGACCATTTGTACCATCGACGTGCACTCAAGGGACGTCGTCGCGAAGCTAATCACGGCGAAGGTGGAAAACTCAAACGCGTTTCAGTGGCAGAGTCAACTGAGGTGAGAAGTCATTGAAGTTTTATAATCTCAGTTTAGATACTGTATTTTATAAAGCTATCAACTGTATCTTAATTATCTTTCACCGACAAACCATAGAGTATGTGTTTTTTTTGATAGCCGTGAAGTGGTGGTGTAAGAAAATCCATCACTTTCATCGTCATCGTTTTGGTCGTCCCGTGAGTGTCGAAAGAGACCATTATGGTCAATGGCAAAAAGATCTCAAGAATTGATTTACAGACCAGTAGCGGTGTCAACGGTGCGAAATTTCTGCGATCGCCATAGATTTTACTAAGTGTAGCAAGCAATCTCTTCTACTTTATCAGAGGGCCATTCACAGACTTTAATGGCCCAATGAAAAGAGAGTTGTTGTTTCATGTTTTATTGTATTTTTAAGTTCATTCTATTTGCGTATGGGCTAACTTATGTAGGTATAATAACTTATCTATACAATCATTCTCGTAACAAATAATTTTGGCATTATGTGTAATAAGTTAGTGTTTCGCATAAAACTACTTTAAGACCTAGGCCACACTGTAAGGAAATTCCGTCGCATATCTTCCGCGAAAAAACGCTAAAACATTTAATCTATACCTATCTATACTATGATAATATATATATATATATATATATATATATATATATATATATATATATATATATATATATATATATATATATATATATAACATTATAAAGTGGAAAGATTTTTGTTTGTTTGTTTTTACCAAATAAGCTCCGTAACTACTAGAACTGGAACTAAATTATCAGGAAGTAACATAGGCTATAAATTTATTTTCAAAAAATTAGAGATCCTTAATAAAATTGCAACAATCTAACCCAAATCATTATTTGGCTTGCGCTGTGAAAACTATTAACGATACAAAAAATTGTGTAAATTATGTACTATATGATTAAAGTACTCATAATTACTACAGAAAAATCCACAAGAGAATATATCTAACGAGTAGCTTTTGTGTTCTAAAACTTAATTAGATCGCTAGTAGAAACAAAAGTTGGTTACATTCAAATCGTAGTATTAATTCATATTCATATAAAAAGTCCACAAATGGTTAAGGGTTAATTCATTCGAATCGAACATTTAATTTCGAAGTTATCACTAGAAATACGAATAAGTATTCGTATTCGCCGAATAGTAGACATTTACCGAATACTCGTTTTCGGCGAATACTAATCACGAATATTTGAAAACTAATCTTTTTGTACGTACTAGATGGGACTCAACATACATACAGATGCTGAAGTGATTACATGAACAACGCATAGCGATTTGTGATGTTTTACCATCTCTATCAAATTGTCGTCATGAAATCGTCGTCACAGCAAGGCGGTGGGCTCTTATGTGCCAAATTATTAATATTCTGGCCAATTTTGAAGAAGCCACTAAAGAGTTAAGGTAATTAACGACATTATCTCAAGCAATCACAATAATACAAAGTCGTACATCTTGCCTGTGATCCATAAGCCTTTTATTTGATGTCCATTTTCCATGGCTGAAAAAAACTCGCCCTAAAATATTTTTCACTGAAACCATGTACAGACACCACAGAAAGGCTTTTTTCAACGGCTGGAAACATCCAGACTAAAAAAATACAAATTTTATGTTTTTTTAAATAAAAATATGCCTGTTGTATAATTTTATCATATTAGAACAATATAAAATCATCTAATAAATTAGTTTTTCAGTATCATGGCGAGATATTCGTATTCGTATTCGCCGAATAGTAGATTTGATATTCGTATTCGTAAAAGTGGTAATCGTTGCATCACTACTTATAAGAATGCAATACGCGAACCATTCGATGCCGCCGCGACGTCTCACAAAAATCAATTACTGTCTGTTAGTTTCGCTAAAACTCGAAAACGACTCGACTGATTTTCATGATTTTTTGTGTTTGTTTGAGTGGGTTCCTAGACGGTTTGATCCACATTTGGACCCGGTAGGTGGCGCTGTTGTCGAGATCAAGAAATCACCCGTGCGAAGCCAGGACGAATCGCTCGTTGCATACAAATTACTAATAACGGGCATACTACGCGTCGCGACGGACCGACCGATCTTCCGACCGGCGCATTTCCGTTCAGTGTGGCGTAGGCCTTACATATTTTATTACTTTTAATTTACCCACACAGGGGCATTCACGCACACAGGGGTACTAAATGCATATAAATTAAAATTAAACCCGAATAAAATTTGTAAATTAAGTTTATTCAATGTGCAATATTTACGCAAATATAAGAAATCTTTAAGTTTTCATTTGCCGGTGCGCTTAGACATCGCTGGGACAACAACTTGAACAACTGTTTCGCGAACATCTGCGACGCACAGTTCCTGTACGACTACGAGTACTTGGGCAACACTCCGCGTCTCGTCATCACGCCACTCACCGATCGATGCTATATCACCTTGACACAGGTTATTTATGACGTTTCCTAATAGTTGTTACGAATGAAAGAAATATGCCAATTTTTTCAAAATGCTTTTTATTAGTAATGTTATGGGACACGTGTGTCCTCCAGACCGAACTTTGGCCACGGCGGCCTGCCTCAACGGAGGCTAGCCATCGGCGCAGGACAGGATTATAGTGCCCAAGTGTATGCGCAAACACAGGTGCACTCTCTATTCCCTCACTCTCATAATCCGATGGGACGGTAAACCGACACGACCGGAGAGAGATCAGGCGCAGGACCAACGGCTTTACGTACTTTCCGAGGCACGGGGGTAAAACACCGCCAACTTCCTGACTCCGGGCAGCTACTGAGGATTTTTAGACAGAAAATCTCAATAATTGATTTTTGGCCCGACCCGGGATTTGAATCCAGGACCTCATGATCAGCAGTCGCACTACTACAACCGCTAGACCAACGAGGCAGACGTATATCACTTATTTGTTACATAAAACTGTATCATACAGTACAGGGTTATGTGGCTTCCCAGTGGCTATTCAATCTGTTATGGACAGTTGTGTGGAAAATTTGAAAGCGGAAGAATGTGGCTCACTTTGAGTTAGCCGTCACATGCCTCTGGTACCCGATGATCAAGTCATATATGCGTCTTTAACCGGCTAGTTGCAAATTACGGTTACATTAAAGTATGTTAAAAATTGGAGTGAGTGTAAGTGAACGCAAGTAAGACGAAAGTGATGGTATTTGAGAGATAAGATAGTAAAGCGATTTGTGAAATAGGAATAGAACGGTAGTTGATTATTAATCAAGTGGATGAGTTATGTATTTAGGATATGTGGCTACCAGGGATGGTAGAAGTGACAAGAATAAAAAACGAGTAAATGTGGGACGCAAAGTGAATAGGGCTCTTTATTACATTATTGAAAGTCGGAATGTACCTATTTTATCCTATAGCAGTAGTGAGTGGTTGGTGTCTCTTACCATAGGCGAACGTTTTTATGGATCAAATTGGCGACATATTGAAGATGGCCTAGTTAGCTAGTGCATCAGTTAAGAGAACTCTTAACTGATGCATACATAAGTAGAGTTCTCTTGGAGAACGTAGATATAATGGATATGAAAGAAACAAGAGAGGTGTGACAGGTGCCAAATGGAAGTCCGTTTTCTTTGCCAAGCCTTTTAAGTGACAAGTGTGAGAGTATGCTATGTTATAAAAAAGTTTGGAATATCCAAAAGTGCACGCCTCATAATCTCATTTCATTATATAAAAAGAAAATTATCTGTTTTTCCATATTTGAGACGAAAAAAGAGATCCATGAGAATATTTTTTTGTAGAAAAGTACCTACCAGTTGTTTTTTTACATTTTCATTAATTACAAAAACGAGACCAAATTACTGAGTGATTTTTAAAAGGAACCTGTGCGTTGAGATTCTAAACCTAATAAAAAAAAGAATTATTTTGAGACATTAATTCTAACGACCGTAATCGTGCGCCATCCACACATACAGACATCCGGACACCCTCAAAAATTTTTTTCAATCAGTTTTTTTTACATAATAGAAACACGAGTGATTTATCTCGATATATTTGTATTTTTATCATTTTAAAAGTGTAATAGTAAAAAAATAAAGACATTTTTAGCTCAGAAAATTACTGGATTTGCATTAGGTGAGAGTAGAGCACAACCTGAGAGAGGCGTGCAATTAGTTAAAGACAATCAGCTTTAAAAAACGTGACGTTTTATTCCAGAGTCTTCACCTGGTAATGGGCGGAGCACCTGCGGGCCCGGCCGGTACGGGCAAGACGGAGACTACGAAGGACCTCGGTCGCGCGCTCGGCATCATGGTGTATGTGTTTAACTGCTCCGAGCAGATGGACTACAAATCCTGCGGGAACATTTATAAAGGTTACTGTTCATATTATGTAACTGTTCAGTCTAGCTGCTCTCCTTTTAATTCTTATTTTATTAATATTTTGAGCATCCTTCCAAAAATAATAATTGTTAATTATAGCAATGCAAATACATTGCTATTTTTTCCAATTTACTTTTTTATTTGTTATAGTTAATACAAAATACTTTGACCTCATCCTTTTCCAATGTCCCGTCCACTCCTATCAATCAATTGATGGTATAATATTCGATTTGCACCAGACTTTTTCAAGGGCATTTTTATGTAGGTAGGTACTAAGGTTGCAAAAATGTCTTACCAACCAAGAAAAAGGCGATCATTTAAGAAGGCCTGTGATCAACATTCGAATTGTGATATTCTGTAATGATGATAAAATATAGTATAAAACTCTCTACTTTCTACTCTATTTCTTATATTAAATTCAGAAGTGTTTCCTTCATACTTCTAGCTAACGTAATCAATTCGTAAATTCCAAAATCAAACGCATAAGACTGGTGATGAGAAACAGCAACCAGTGAAAGGGTGTCAGCTCAATGTTGACTATCCCACCTATATAGCGCGGTGAACAGATTTTTGAAGTTTACACTATCATCATATCTCATTATTAATAAGACGCTCTTAATGGGATTGTCCAACAAGTGGATTACACTTTGTGATTGACAAACTAAGTGGTACCAATAAAAAAAGTGATTTTGATTTGTTCTGTCGTTTTCAGGTCTATGCCAGACAGGTGCGTGGGGCTGCTTCGATGAGTTCAACAGGATCTCGGTAGAAGTGTTGTCCGTGGTCTCAGTGCAGGTCAAGTCTGTGCTGGACGCGATTAAGGCCAAGAAGAAGAAGTTCGATTTTATGGGCGAGATCATTACACTCATTCCTACCATAGGGATGTTCATTACCATGAACCCTGGTTACGCGGGTAGAACGGAATTACCCGAAAACTTGAAGGCGCTGTTCCGGTAAGTTGAGAGATTTAGATTTTTTTTATAAGATAGGATGACAAAAGATCACACAGTCCACCTGATGGTAAGTGGTTGCTGTGGCCTGTTGCCCATAGATAGTGAGAACCCGTGAGGACTTAGATGGAATGCCTCGTTTCCAGTAAAAAGGGTCTCCGGTTCTCTACACTCACCATACGTAACACAGCAGCATTAAGCTACTGTTTGACGCTGGTATTCTGTGAGAGCGTGGCCCTTCCCCTGTCGAGCCGACCCATTTGTGCACAACTATATTACTTATAGCTGCAGCAAGGCTCTACCACGTAAAATATTTGCAGTTTCACGACGAATTTTGGTTATATATATTAGTTATCTCAAATACAGTGGAAAATAAAATTCTTTTCTTTTTCTTTTTATTCAGCCCATGAAAATCTACTATTGGATATGGATCTACTCTGTAGAGAGCCTGATAGTCACTGTTTAGCAGATGACGGGTTGGTAACAGCATTACCAGACGTCAAGCACCTTTAACGATGCTTTAGTTTTAACGTTTGGCGTAAACGTGATGGTTAAACTGCCACCTATCCGGACTCTCTGAAGTAGACCATAGTCGCCCTTACAATACTCGAGAAAATGGAGTAATCGATTCTCTTATTTTATCTATATAATATGTCGGATGTAAGGGGCGAAAAGGTGACAAACGACCACCGTGTGCTCGTTGTGTCAATCTGATGGTAAGTGGAAGGTGTGGCTTATAGACACCTACATCTATCCTCGATTCGTTATCACCCTTGAGGTCTAGGGGAGAATGCCTCGTTACCTACAAAAAGGTCTCCGGTTATCTACACTCACCATACGAAACGCAGCAGCATGAAGTTGCTATTTTATGACATTGTTCTGTGAGAGCGTGGTACTTCCCCGGTCGAGCTGAACCAATCGCGCTACGCTGCAGCGTGGTTCTGCCACGTTTTGCTTACGTTAAAGGCAGTTTATCACATGTGATAATTATGAGAAATTCTTCCTAAAATGCGACAGACGGAAAAAGTAGAGGTAGTCGTTTATAATTAACAAGTACTCAATGGAAATGAAAAATTATCAATAGTTATAAAACCTTTAAACTGGTCCTCTTGGAGACGTGCTCCTTACCATTCTACATACAAATTAATGGCGTTTTTAATGGGATTAAAGGTTATTTGATTTATCATATTTAATATTACTGATCTCTTATTTACAGACCTTGCGCCATGGTTGTACCTGACTTCGAGTTAATTTGCGAGATCATGTTGGTAGCTGAAGGGTTTCAAGAGGCTCGATTATTGGCTCGCAAGTTTATCACTCTGTATATGTTATGTCGCGAGTTGCTCTCTAAGCAAGATCACTACGACTGGGGCCTGAGAGCCATCAAGTCAGTGCTCGTTGTTGCTGGCTCTCTAAAGGTATGTTAAAAAAATATGAAAATTAAATAAAGTGTAGACTTTCTACCCTTAGTACAAACCCTTCTTTATAAAAATGTACATATTAAACTTACGTGACAAACGAATTTAAGGTCTAGTGTAGGTTAGTAATTTAAATTCAAATTTATTTTATTTTTTATTTGTTTTTTTTTTAAAAGAAATGTTTCCTAGCTGGCACGTTTTTGAAAACGCTTTAGTCTCGTAGTGGAATAAAAAAAGCTTACAATGTCATAATATGAGTGTGATGCGATTAACTTAATAAAATATTAATTCTTCTAAAATATTAATCATAGCAATTAAATTTAATGTTGACTTATAACTCATGGCTTGAAGCACCAAGTTAAAATATAAAGTGAAGTGAATTTTTAGAGAGGAGATCGTCAAAGACCGGAAGATCAAGTTTTAATGCGCGCTCTGCGTGATTTCAACATACCGAAAATCGTTACGGACGATATGCCGGTGTTCATGGGACTCATCGGGGACTTATTCCCCGCGCTCGACGTGCCGCGCAAGAGAGACTTCGACTTTGAGAAAAGTTTGCACGATGGAGCGGTATCTATGAAACTTCAGCCTGAACCGGGATTCATATTGAAGGTACAGCCATTCCTAGGTAAGTACTGAATTGCTACTCCAAGTTAGAAACTGAGTAAAAGCAATTGAGTAAAAATACAGATTGTTGGTTTCAAATAACCGATGTTACGCAGGTGTGTAACAACGGTTATTTATTTATTTATTTACTTAGATTTCATTTGCAAATAAATGAACGTAAAAAAGCGAACACGGAATGCCACAGGGCATTCTCTCACAGCCTGCTTCCAGGTCGAGTAGCAAATATAAATATGGTGTAAAGTGCCAAGTTAAATAATTAAGATAAAAATATATTGCTAGTAGCTATATAGAAACGTATATTGTCCATGTAGCGACGGTGTAAGTCCCGGTGTAATAGCCAGGAAAACAAACCAAGAGATGGTTAGTAGCTTCCTAATTATAAATATAGGAAATATAGCACAGTTCATACACAACATATAAATACAGTGTTATTGTCATTATACGGTAAGTATATTAACGTGAACTTCAGTTAAGAGGTGAGAGTAAGTCAGCTCAAATTCTAATTTCGCCCCCACTTCCCCGCGCGTCGTATGCTATGTACCGACATGTTTGTAATCACTTAATACTCTAAGTAGATAGGTCGTTAGACACTTATTTCATTAGGTTTATCATATTTATGCCTGTTTCTTAACGCCAACCCAGTCGCTTCTTATTTTTATAACGGTTATTTCCCATTTTAATTTTACGTCTTCCTGTTGCGTAATGTGTTTTCTAATCGTAAGCGACACAACTTCTCCCTTCAAAAGCCGGAGCAATACTAACGGAGCGACAGGAACCAAGCTTACGCGCCGATAGTTTATAGGTAATTTCTTTTTTACAGTGAAAATAATGATATTTTAAAAAAAGTAAATAACATAAGCACTGCTTTATGGTTAGTTCAGTTAGTATGCAAAGTTTCATGATCTTATTTAAAGTATTTTATGAATAACAGCGGTTTATTGTTCAGTTTGGAGGTAACTTTGGATTTTTTTTTCTATCGAGAAAATTTTACGGAATCGTGTTTTCGTCTAACATAAACCTTAACATTAATCCTCAACTTTACCATATATTTATTTCAAAATTAATGCTGCAATACTTTCGGCATAACGGAGGATCTTGCTAAGCCATTTGAGGTTATATTTCCCCTTAAGTTGTTCAAGTAAACTAAGACTATAAATTTGAAATATTCTGCTCCAAATGCCAACTTTAGTTCGCAGTAGTGTGAACTGCAAAATAGCGGACAAAATACTAACGACCCACTGATAGCACAAAGTGCATCAAAAAATCTAAACCTAAATCTTACAGACTGTTAATAATTAGCAGCATTACCAGTTCCAGCACTTGCAAGCAGGGTTACATGTAAAGAAGCGAGATAAAGGATTTAAACATGTTGATTTATACTCTGTCGCATTACGACTTCAAGCTATAAAAAAAGATATTATATTTCAGATGGTCCAACTAGTCGAGCTATTCGCAGTGCGTCACTCCGTATTCATCGTGGGTTTCGCCGGCACCGGCAAGTCGATGGTTTGGCAGTGCCTTCACAAGACCTATCAGATGTTGAAGATGAAGCCGTACTACAACGATTTGGATCCGAAAGCGGTCACCAACGACGAGTTGTTCGGCGTCATCAACCCAGCCACGCGTGAATGGCGCGACGGTTTATTCTCGACCATTATGCGAGATATGGCCAATATGCCAGGGGATGGACCCAAATGGATCGTGCTCGATGGAGATATCGACCCCATGTGGATTGAGAGTCTAAACACCCTCATGGACGATAATAAGGTTATTTTCTGTTATTCCTCGAATCTACAATGGTACTTGGCCATATAATTGCCACATTTTGCGGGCAGATAGCCGATCGCTGTATCTGGTAGCTGTATCTGTTAGATACAGTCGCAGTCACAGTTCCGAATATTTTATCTCCTATACGAGTTTGTTGCCATGTTAAAGAAGAACTAATATAGCCAAATAATACTATTCATTTGCTGTAGCATCATTGATTACTAAGCAAAACATTTTGTTCTCATGTAGAAAGGATGGTAACTCGCTAGGTATATTGTTGTCGCATAACGGAAAGGGATAGCGAAACAGTCATGGGATTATGCATATACCCACTATTATGTACCCTGTAGAACACAAAACATTTACTCAAGGTTTAGCAGTTTCTTAGATTACAAATTGGGGTCTAGAATAAGCCAATACGAGTACATGAATAAAAATCGTAAGATTGGTTGTACCAACAGGCAATTGGTGAATATCTGAATATTTTACCATTAGAGATTACTTGCTTCATCGTTTTCACATAAATTTCACATACTCCGTTATTAATTGTCTAAAATCACGCCACGTTTACTTATCGAAATCCACTTAAAGCCATTTACTCTAATGTAAAGACAAAAACAACAAACCATTCGATGTGTAGTTGCTGCTAAAACTCCGGACCCGAATCTTTGTACAAAATTTGTCATTAAATGTTTTATTAAAGAAAAATTGTACAAAATGAGTTTTTATAATATAAATGAATATGGGAGTGAGGTGATCGCCACCATGCTGGTTCTATAAAAATTCATTCAAAAATTGTAAGAAAATAAATTTATTGTAAATTTAAATATGTTTGGAAAAAGTTCCCGCTGATTTTCGTGCTGGTTCTTCACAGGACAGAGGTTTTTTTGCGAACCAGTGGTAAATTAAAAAAATACTTTCAATAAGTATTATATAATAATCTATGTTGAATAAAATAATTCATTTCATTTCATTTGTATCATTGGTTATAAAGTGACGACTGACACACAGGTGTTGACGCTGGCGAGCAACGAGCGCATCGCGCTGACTAAGTCGATGAGGCTGCTGTTTGAGATCTCGAATCTGCGCACGGCCACACCGGCCACCGTGTCGCGCGCCGGCATCCTCTACATCAACCCGCAGGACCTGGGCTGGAACCCGTGAGTCACTGCTCTCATTATACAGCTTAGGCACACGGTCTACATCATGCCTACTATATATTCAGCAATTTTATACCAATATATAAAAATAAACTTATATAATATTTGTTGTTACTTACTATTTTTCAGAATTTATCTCTACAAAATGATTTTGTATGTGTACGTAGCTTGTTTTATATACGCGCTCAAATCCAATCACACAAGTGTTCAATAAATCAGGGACTCTTTTAGCATTCGTAGCGTTACCATCTCATAACATTACCATCTCATAGCGATATCATTGCTATAGATGGTAACGCTATGAGTGTTTAGGATTGAATCTACACTTAAGAATCACAGACCATAAAATAAAAACAGCAAAGTGCCACTTCCGGTCTTTATATGGCCATTAAATAGTAAAGTCTTGTCAATGTGAATTTGTCTTCAGTTCTATAAATTTAGCGTTTTAACATCTTGTACAATGTAAATTAAGAAATCAAACAGCACTTAAATGTATTTTTTTTTAGAAATAACATTCAAATATTAGAATAAGCTGAAGTCACAGAAATAGTAATAATAAGACAATAGAAATAATTTAGCGCTCGATTAATTCCAAAACCGATGTCGCCACTTCTTAACACACCGATGCCTGCAGCCGTATTATAAACATACGGAATGCACAATGATATCTAATGTTTCACATTACATTGCTTGGCGAATGCAATGCAATGCAAAAGCAGCAATGGTAATTGTAAAATACTAAAAGTAATAAAAAATGAAAGCTTACAAAGGTAAATATCATATTAAAGTATACATCTAGGTGTAAATTAGTTAAAACAATGATAATTAGTAAATAATCAACTTACCGATGAAATGTTATGACTATATTAGTTGTATTACGCGTCCTTGGTGAGTTTTTATAACTGATTATGCTGAAGTTCACCATTATAATAACATAAATTCACGTACGACGTTCCCTGCGCAACTAAATCACAAAATGGTGAATGATGTTCGTCAACACATCATAGCGGCGACAAGGTCACGCTAGACGCGTCTTCTATTGTCTTATTACTACGATTTCTGTGGTTGAAATAAACGTATTAATACGCAGATTTGTGGCGTCGTGGATTGAAAGTAATCGCGACGACGAGTCGGAGAAGGCGATGCTGACTGTGATGTTTGACAAGTATATTCCTGCCCTGCTGGAAACGTCCAAGAAGTACAAGCGCATCACGCCGCTGACAGACTTGCAGCAAATACAACTCACCTGCTACCTTCTCGAGTGCTTCCTCAACAAGACGCTGTTGCCTAGCGATTGTCCAAAGGAATGGTCAGTGGTTAAAATATTTTTTATAAATGACGACGATCTGACCCGGCTTCGCACGGGTGATTTCTAGATCTCGACAACAGCTCCACCTACCAGATCCAATTACGAAACTAAACCATTCAGGAACTCACTCAATCACACACAAAAGTTTAATCAGAATACGTCGAGCCAGTTTCAAGTTTTAACGAGATAACTCTTGACTGGATAGCAATTGATTTTTTTATATAAAGTTTAGCGATTTAACTCGACTTTACCTGGGTACGTTCTCTAAATATGTTTTTTTTATAGGATAGGATGACAATCGAGCACACAGTCCACGATATAAACGGTTGCTGTGACCCATAGAAATTAACATCTATCCTCGATTACGAATCAAAATGCAGATGCGTTGTCACCCGTGAGGACTGAGGTGGAATGCCTCGTTTCTAGTAAAAAGGGTCTCCGATTCTCTATACTTACCATATGAAACAAAGCAGCATTAAGCTACTATTTTACGCTTGTATTCTGTGAGAGCGTAGTCCTTCCCCGGTCGAGCCGACCCATTCAAGCTACAACTATAACTGCTATACACTATATATAACTGCTATAACTACTATAGCTGCAGCTTGGCTATACCACGTATAAGATTTAAGATGAAGAAAAAGAAGGCTATATTTAGATTTAACAGTCAAGTCAAAGAACATTTATTTTATCAATTTTTAGTTTTATCTAAAACCATTTATCCCAAGTTTTTCGAATAAATTATAGCATAGATCACTCCTGGCATTGGTCTCTATCGGTTCGTGAAGTTTAATTACAATCGGTTCAAGCATTCGAAAGACTGCACGGATCGACAGACGGACAAAAAATTTGAAAATTGTTATTTGTATATCAATGAAATTTGAATAACCCCCTCAGCCGAAAAACAGACAGTTATATCGATATAGACAGATACTTCTATTTTATTTATATGTATAGATAGTTCCTTATCATAGTCATATATAAATATCTGTTAATGTGTTTATTTGTTATATCATTAAAGTAGATCCTGTACAGATTTCAGCTGTTGATTCTTAACTAGATTATACATATATTTATGATTGAAATAAATTAGCCCACGATTGTTATCAATGCTAGTACAAACTTTATTTTTACATTATCTTGGCCCTAAAAATTAACTACCTTAAATTTTAAAGTGATAAAAGTTGGTTAATTAGCTAAGCGAGCTTTTTTTTAAACAAGTAAGGATGAAAAACGAGTGCGAAGTCTAAATGATGGTAAGAGAATCTTATATGACCTATAGACACCTTAATTATTTCACGATGCGTTGTCACCTTTTCGATACAAAACGCGACAACACTATGTTGCTATTGTACGTTGGTATTCTGTTATAGCGTGGTCCTCCTGACCCATACGTATGTTATATACCTGCATTATAGTTTGATCAAGTTACTTTATAATAAAACTTTTTTGAAGGTATGAAATCTACTTCGTGTTTTCTGTCGTGTGGGGCTTCGGTTCCGCACTCTTCCAAGACCAACTTATAGACTGGCGCAACGAATTCAGCAAGTGGTTCTGCAATGAATTCAAGCAGATCAAGTTTCCCTCCACTGGAAATGTTTTCAGTTTCTTTATCGACCCAGAAACAAAGAAGTTTTTACCATGGTCGGAGAAGGTGGAGGCGTTTGAGCTCGATCCAGATTTACCGTTACAGGTTTGTTCTTTTAGTGATTTGTCATTTAGCATTTATAGAATTTAATTTATGACTGAGCATTAAGCTGAAGTGACAATGGACCGGACATATGGTTTGACGAACCTAGATTGGGACAGAGATTCTAGAGCGGAAAGTAGGGCAGCCCTCCAGTAGATGAAATGATGACTTCGTAGGACATACAGATAGTGAATGGATGTAGGTTAGGTTACGACAGTATTTTGTATCTATTTTTGAAGAGGCTTTGCTAAGCAGTGAAATTTTCAAGGGCTGTATCATTACATGATTCATCACATAATTACACGTCATTACAGCATTACATATTACACCACGTCATGACCATTACATTTTACATCACATCATCATGATGATAGTTGTAAATTAATAACTTCTATATATCACAAAGATATTAATTTCGTGGTATCATAACCATGATTGTAGATACTAGCAGCAGCTATGATCGAATTACATTGCCATGCTTGGTTTCTGTCGTCTTTATCTCCTTGTATCTGACATAACTATCGTAAAGTGACAATAACAGAAATGTGTCGAAGATGGTTATGAATTTCAGGTTTATTCTAATTTTTAACTTTAATTGTAACCAAGGAAAATTGAAAAGTGGTGCTAATAATATACATTTTTGCTTTTGTAATGGAGTACAATTGTACTTTTGCTAATGTCAAGTAATAAGAAATTTTCTTTTTGATAATTTATTCAATTTTTTCATATTAGAGGGGGGCAAACGAGCATGTGGCTCACCTGATGGTAAGTGACTAACGCCGCCCATAAATAACTACTACACCAGGGAACCGCAGATGCGTTGCCGATCTTTTTAAAAGGATTAGTCTCTTTTCTTGAAGACTCCTAAGTCGTAAAGGTCCAGAAAAATCTCTGGTGGTAGTCGATTCCATAGCAAAGTTGTGCGAGGAAAATAACTTCTTTTAAATCGCACACTGGTGGACCGCCCGTCATCCAAATGGTGTGGATGGTATCGCGAGTTTTGTCACGACGTTCTATGGTGAAATTGTGCGGCTGGAATTAGTCCGAACAACCGTGGTAAATGTGACAAAATACGCAAAGTGATGCAACATCTCTTCGCAGTGCCAGTGAGTCAAGTCGATCGGAAAGAGCTCGGTCGCCGACGATTCGAACGGCTCTGCGCTGGATGCGATCAAATGGAAGGAGCTGACACTGGCAAATTTACTCATAATATGTGCATTACATTGCGGAATGTTTTCAACGACAATTTAAGTCAGGAGACGGTCGATGACGATAGTATTCAAGTTCTTAGGCATCCAAACGTACAAAATAACTTAAGATTTTTATCCATAACGTAGCACACGTTTCGTCGTTTTCACTAAAAGTTTACATGCGCAGATACACAAAATCGCAACACTTACGTATCAAAGTCCACATAAAACTATTGTTTAAACGCGATAACAACTGCAAAAGCTTTCTGTATGTATTGATTCAGTTGCACTTGACAAATTAATAAAACGAAAAAATTAAATGGTCAACTAATGAAATTAAAAGTAAATGTTGATTATATTCAGTCGTGCCTGGTGTCGACGTCGGAAACGACGCGTATCCGCTTCTTCATGGACTTGCTGGTGGGTAAGCAGAAGCCGCTGATGCTGGTGGGTGCGGCGGGCAGCGGCAAGACCGTCAGCGTCGCCGCCAAGCTCAACGCGCTTCCCGACTCCTACGCCATCACCAACGTACCGCTCAACTTCTATACCACCTCCGGTAAATCACCGCAACAATTTCACACTAATAATAAATAATTAAATAAGTTAAATGCTCCTTCTACAAAATACAAGGTTCCTTTTTTTAAATTGCAATATGCTACTAAAACTACGTAAACACCTACAAAGATATCAATTTATTGAAGCAATACCAAAATATATATCAACGAAACAGTATATATCTATATTCAAGAAAGACTTCTGTGTATACAAAATATACTTCTGAGCTCTGGTGCCTTAATACATTGCTCAAAGTTACGGTAAACTCCCTTTAGTTCGCGCAGTGTATATTTCTTTGCTTGAGTCGAATGCAAGCGGTCGAGAAGAATAGTTTTTATGTTTTTTAAACCGCGAACGTTGTTCTCGATAAACCTAAAACGGATTTTGTTTAAGAGGATTATGAAGTTGTAAATTTTCATACAAAAAGCGATAACGTTTTCCCTGTGTAAACACTATCTAATTTTATAATTTTTAGAAATGTTGTAAATATAAAGAAAAACTAGGTCCATAGGTAGGTAGGTACAGAGGTTGCACTAAAAGTATCGGGAATGGAATATTTCCACTGTTCCTGTCATATTAAAATCTTTTTAATTGAAAACTCCTTGGTTTTAAAAATCGAATACCATTTATTTATTTTAAAAAAGATTCTCGGTCTTATCACAAGGTTTTGCCAAACTTGTTTAGTCGATGAGAAAATGGAATTGACTCGAGAAAATTCAAGAGCGATGATTAATTACGACTTTCGAAGTGGTTTAACACAAAAACAGTGTGTTGATCGGATGATTTCTGCATTTGGTGATGAAGCCCCATCCAAAACCACAATTTATAGCTGATTTGCTGAATTTCAACATGGACTCAACTCAATTTCAACATTCCCGAAATTTTCAGTGCCGCCCTCGTAGGTAATACGTTTTTACTTTACAGAAATGTTGCGTGCGAGTTATTAGCATCTTAATATCTATATTTTTGAGTTAAAAACATCCTCGAGTATTTTTATTTTTTTTAATTAAAATAAACTGAATTACTAAAAAAGACGTATAGACCTAGATTAAGATGTACTGAATTGAATGAGACCAAAATTGTCTCATTTCATATCTAGGTTTAGGGGGGTGAAATCGCGATCGCCCGAAACAATATTTCAAAAAAGAAATGTAAGCAATTCCCTCCAAGACTTGCAACTCTCTCTATCACGCCCGGAGAGAAGCAGAGCGAGCGATATGAAACAGATAGCATTTTTCAAAATACCTACTCGCGCCGCGTATCGGCGTTTCACACTCCTCTTAATGTGACTAGGAGAACGCTGTCAGTTATTATTTATGTGCGCACTTTGTCTACGTGATTTTAGGTTTGTTTCAGAAAAGTATGTAGCTTGTTTTTTTGTATTTGCCTAAAAACAGTACCAATCGCAATTGTAAATACAACTGCGTGGCATATTTGTCGTGACAGCTCTCCGCCCAGCCCAGCACAGTAATCCACAGTTGCGACACAGTACTTGTTCTGAATTGCCTGTCTTTTAGTATACGTAGAAGTATTTGTATTGCAATGTACAAAATGCTTTTAATTGTATTTATTCGTTCCACATTTAAATTATTATTAAAAATATCATTGCGTTCAGCACATAATTAAGTTATTAAACGCAAACAATTTAAAAACTTGATGAAATAAATACATGATATTGACACTATATTACCCTTTGGTATCTTAACCGAAAAAGTTTTGTAAACAGAAGCGGTCTGAAACAGCGTTAACGCTATACTCTATAGTACATAGTTATGTAGTTATTGAAATAAATAATTTTCAAACCCTTACTTGACCACTGAAACGATAATAAAATAGTTCTGGTGTTATTAATACCATGTAATGATCCTCCGCCATCCGAAGTACATGGGTCTATTGCCCATAAGGAACAATCTGCGTCTGCGGCTTCTGTCGTAATAATATTTTTATAGCTTTGCTTATTTTTATAACTCTCATAGTTTCGTTGTCAAACCTTACACGCTTGACAAGTTTGTTTACAATTATATGTAGTTAGTGTATGTTTATTATACAATTAGTGTAGTTATGAGTATATGTACTTCTTATTATACAGAAATGATTCAGAAAGTTTTAGAGAAGCCTCTAGAGAAGAAATCGGGCCGAAATTTCGGCCCACCAGGTGGCAAGTTCATGATTTACTTCGTAGACGACATGAACATGCCCGAAGTAGACACGTACGGTACAGTGCAGCCGCACACACTCATAAGGCAGTTCATGGACTACAGACATTGGTGAGTCAAATAGATGTCTTATGCTTTATCTTATCGTATTTGACTTTTGATTATTTTCATAATTATGTGCTTTAAAACATCAGGCTGTTGTTCATTATATTGTTTTGTTAATATATATATTAATATTATCATCGACAGGTACGACAGACAGAAATTATCGTTGAAAGAAATATCAAACTGCATGTTTGTCTCCTGCATGAATCCCACCGCCGGATCGTTCACTATCGATTCACGTCTGCAGAGACATTTCTGTACCTTCGCCGTCAGGTGAGCTATTAGTTTTATTACTGGAACAATTATAATGACTACCTTACTCTATTGCGGCATAAGCATAAAAAATAAACGTTGCAAAAGAATTTGATAAAGTTTGGCATAAACCCGAAACACATAAATATTCGTAATAAACAAAAAATTTTTTTTTGTAGAGCTCAAAGTAGTTTTCTTGAAAGTTTTGATTAGATTTGTTTTTTGCAACACACAGACGGAATTAAAATGTTGAGACATGATAATTTGGCTTCATGATTTTGGAATCTCGACTGAAGCAGATCAATGAAATCATCCAAAAGTAGAATCATTATAGTAATTATAAAATAAGTTTCAGGATCTTTGGTGTTGTAGTTTGCCTTATGCTCTTGGCGTGACGTTATTCGCGGAATGTTCATTTCCTCGTTTACAGTACTGAGCAAATTCTGTGCATTCTTGAAAAGTTCAGCAAATTTTGAATCAATATTTTGACGAACATCTTCAATAGTCTTTATAACTAAATCGACATGTAAAGCATGCATACATGTCCTCTGTACTCAGCGGTCACAAAACGTGGACAGTCTCACATGTCTTCGGTACATGAGGGGGAGTAAAACTTCTGTACGTAGTACTAATATTTATTCTGTGCTATTATGTTGTGTATTATTATTTTTTCATTTCGGGGAGGGGGGATCAATCCCCCCTTGATATCCCTCTGGATACAGCCTTGATTACACGACTTAACATAATTATTAAAAAGGGTAAAATAAAGCAAATAAGAACTAGTTACCAAATACGATTTTATCGTTGAAATCGATTTCTTCCAAACAACCTTGGCAAGTGAACTGAATGTGAGCAAAATTCAAAACAAAAGTGAAACATTTCCACATAACAGACGCTAGTATAAGCGCAGTCAATATTGTAATATAATAATACATATGTTTATACTTAGGGGCACTCTAAGTCTAACTACAGTTGGAAGCTTGACTACAGCTCCGGCTTATAATTGATTTATAAAAACATACTGCCCGTTTTATGTTATGCGATAAGTTTATAGTGTATGATATTTTATTAGAAACACGGGGACAACCAGAACAAAAACCGGTGTAATGGACATATACTCTGACCACACTACACTGTCATCACTCTAATTCTCCATGATAGCTAAAGAGGTTATATTTATCCAGTTTCCCGGCGCTGGACGCGTGCTACCACATCTACCAGCAGATCCTGTCTCAGCACCTTAACAACCCGCTGAACAAGTTCAGCTCGGCGGTGCAACGCTATGCGGACACGCTGGTGACCACGGCTCTCGCACTGCACACCAAGCTCGCCTCCACGTTTCTGCCTACTGCTATCAAGTTCCATTACATATTCAATTTGAGGGACCTGTCGAATATATTTCAAGTAATTCTCTGCTGTAATATTGTAAAGTTTTAAGGACTTCATTACAGTACATATTATAATTTTTTTAGATTTATAACATACTGGATGACCTTTTTTACCGTCTGGAAAAAAATAGGTTGTAACATGTGAACAATTACTTTGCCAACCTGCTTGGCGAGCGTGGCAATTATGGAAAAATTCCTCCTATGCGGCGATCTATGGGGGAGCACTACGTTCAGCAGTGAACTTTTCAAACGGTAACGAATGGGTGGATAAATTGTAACGAAGGCGTAACAATTTCAAAGTGATTAACGTCTAAGATAGAAGTTTTTTTTAATGTTCAGTCTGATCTTACAACTTCAGGGCTATATCATTTTTTATATACTTATTGGGTTAAACACTTCAAGAAAATTCTAACGAACACTCTCAGAGCAATCATTAAAAATCAAGATCAGAGGTTTTTCAACTCGGAATTGACCATTTGTATTTTACGATCCAACAAAATATTAAGGTATTAATAATATATAAATGATTTTTTTGGGCTGGAATATAATAAAATAAATATTGTCATGTACACGTAACCCCCTTGTGATCGTAAAGGTGAGTCTACTCTAGAGGATCCAGGCACGAGCAGAGCACAAGCTGAGCCCCTCTACTCGCGGTGTCAAGTGTGGACGTACAACGAGCCTATAACATGCAAATTGATGCAAGCGATAGAAATCCCTTTATGTTCGTCAAAAAACCGACAGTAGGCGGAGGCGACACAGTCGAGCACGAACCAAACGCATGAAGCGCGGTCGTTCGAGGCTTGTAAGTCGGTTCACACTACACGGTTTGTGTTCGGCTCATGCTCCGCTCGTGCTCGGCTCATCTAGCGACCCACCTTAACAATCATTTCCAGGGTATCCTATTCACGACGGGCGAAGTGATAAAGCAGTCGTCGGAACTGCTCCGATTGTGGCTGCACGAGGCCACGCGCGTTTACAGCGACAAGCTGGTCTCCGCTACAGACAACGACGTCTTCAACAAACTCATCGCCGACGTCATTAAGAAGAACTGCGAGGTTTGACACTGATAATATGAGATAATTTTATATTATATTAAGCCTGGAAGAGTCACGCTACAGCTGTTTTATGTCTGCAATAGGAATGGGTCGGCTCAACCGGGGAACGACCATGCTCGCAGAAAATTGTATTGTGTTGTGTTGCTGCTGTGTTTCGTATGGTGAGTGTAGAGAACCGGAGACCCTCTTTACTGGAAACGAGGCATTCCATCTTAGTCCTCATGGGTGACAAAGCATATGCATTTTGATTCGTATTTGAGGATAGATGTAGATGTCTATGGGCCGCAGCAACAACTTACCATCAGGTGGACTGTGTGCTAGTTTGTTACCCTATCCTATAAAATAAAAAAAAATAAGAAAATAAAATAGAACCATAATACTGCTTTGTTTTGAATGGTTATATAGTGATGACAACCTTTTCACTGGTAACGATGTATTCCTTCTTCATACTTAGGGTGATTCCGCATCTGCATTTTGGTTCTTATTTGAGAGGAGATGTAGATAGAGAGAGATATCTATTGGTCATAGGATCCACTTACCATCAGATGAATTGTGTACATTGAATTGTGTGTAGGGTGACAAACGACCCTCAATAGTTTTAAAAAATCAGTTACTCCGCAATTTCTATGGTGTTGAGAGTCGTCTCTTTCTCTTTCTCTCTCTCTCTCTCTCTCTCTCTCTTTCCAGTTGCTTAAATCATTTAAATTATTATTAAAATAATCGTATCCTTTCCGTGCTCGTGAGAAAAGAGTGGATAATTTTGACTGCGGGTTATTGCGGCGTGCATTTTTTCCAATTATTCTTGCAGGACTATGACGAGAACCTGGTATTCGAAAAGCCTTTAATTTACTGTCATTTCGCGGAAGGCGTGGGCGACCCCAAGTACAATCCGGTACGCGACTGGGCGCAAATCAAGCGCCTCCTTGAGGAGTCCCTTGCCGCTTACAACGACCTGGTGGCCACTATGAACCTCGTACTTTTCGAAGACGCCATGTACCATATCTGTCGGTGAGCGAACGATCATCATCTTATACCTACTTGTTATATTCAAGTCATCGTAACCATTTGACAAGACCACCGTGTTTGACCAGCGAGTGCTTTTCAAGAAACCATCAGCTGACGTTAATTTCGTTGGAAAACAGTAAAATTGAATAATTTTCATTAAATTTGGATTAATTTATACTTCATACTTATTTAAAGTCATAATTTAAGCGTTTACTGTTGGTTCGTAAAAATAACTCCTGGCCTGGAAAGAATTACCAAGAAGCTAGCCGGTAAATTTTTATAGTTAACAAAGTATGTTGAATACTTAAGTATCGCTTTACCTCATTCACATGGATAATCATCAATAATGTATTATTTCGCCGTGTAGTGGTGACGTAAGGGAATCACTACCCCATGTCATCCCTTAATGACTTAAGTAGCGACGGAGGAAAATGAAACAGAAGGCACTACACCATCGTCCTGATATCAACTCAAAATAAAACTACGGTTGCCAACCTGTCTGTCAAGCGTGGCAGCCATGGCATGTATCCTTAATATATTATGGTAGTTGTATTAATGTGTTAGCTCGATCGCGGAAGAATTATGCTTTCACAGAACCTTCAAGAAAATAGCTTACTCCTTTCTAAAGGGCCGGTAACGCACTTGCGATTTCCCTGGTGTTGCTTGCGGTTGATCATGGGCGGCGGTAGTCACTTAACATCAGGTGAGCCGCATGCTCGTTAAAACATTGCAACAACTTTCGTATGATGAAAGTAGAGAACCGAAGACTCGTACGACGTAAGACGTACACAAAGTTCAAAAACTTTATTAAACTTAGTTTGTATAAAAAGGGTTATTATAATATTAAGGAATTTAGGGATTATAATAACCCCTGGGAGGGGAGATTGCTACCAAGCTATTGCTAAATTGTTTTGTGTTGTTAGTTGTAACACGCATGATTGTAAGCTCTTTTTTTTTAAATAGTCTCGCTGGGTTTCTTGCTGGTTTTTCCCAGGACAGAGGTTTTTTTCTGAACCAGTGGTAAATGTCAAAAATGACTTTCAATAAGTATTATTTATAATGGGGGAAACAATTCTAAAAAAATCTGTTTCTCTTTTTACTGGAAAGAGACATTTTATTTTAGTCCTTAGGGTGACAACACATCTGCATTTTGATTCTTATTCGAGGATGAATGAAGATGTATACAAAAAAAACGTGAATAAAACATAAAAAAATTAAAAAATATATCAGTTATAGTTTTATAACGAATGCATAAAATGTTTTGTTTATATTTTATTTGTCGATTTACATATGATTAAAACTACTTTTACGGATTTTATCGCGTTTATTTTTACTTTTTATTTTTAATTCCCGACGTTTCGGGCGCTTTCCAGCACCCATGGTCACGGGGGACTGAGATGACTGACGTCCCGATGTCATTGTTAAACCCGGAGTACCTTCAGCTTTTTTAATTATTGTTTATGGTCCGATCTATGCAAAATGAACTGACTATGTCCTGAGGTCTTGCAGTGGTATGCTTGGGTTTAGTTTTAATTTTATTGATTATAGGATCCCAAGCAGGTGGTAGTACCCAGCCTCCTTCTCTATTGAAATTAGGATGTTTTTTAATTTCAATAGCCTCACGTATCATCCTTGGTAGGAATCGGTGTTCTTTCGCGAGGATTTGTGGTCTATCAAATCTGATGTAATGGTTGGGGCCGTCTAGGATATGATCACAAACTGCAGACTTCAATGCAGATAATTAAAAACGCTAAAGGTACTCCGGGTTTAACAATGACATCGGGACGTCAGTCATCTCAGTCCCCCGTGACCATGGGTGCTGAAAAGCGCCCGAAACGTCGAGAATTAAAAATAAAAAGTAAAAATAAACGCGATAAAATCCGTAAAAGTAGTTTTAATCATGTGCAATGTTCGCGTAAATATAAGAAATCATTATGTCGATTTACATGTTACAACATTCAAGGTTGCATTTCTAAAATTGTGAAGTAGAGCACTTTGAGCATACGTAGGACATTCCAAAAACGTATGCAAGAAATATTCTCCCAATCAAAACTACGGAGCTTATATGAGAAGTGTAATTATACTGAATTCAAAGATGATGAAATCGGTATTTTATATTTGAATCATATAATTCAATAACGTTTTCAAAATGATGTATAATAGATCCTAAATCTTGATAATGTCTGTCATTTTATATTTTAAGAATATTATTGTAACAAAATTTCTCCTCAGTATTAACCGTATCCTCGAGTTTCCGCGTGGGAACGCCTTACTAATCGGTGTAGGCGGCTCTGGAAAGCAGTCCTTATCTAGATTGGCTGCATTCATTTCTTCGCTCGAAGTGTTCCAGATGCAACTGCGCAAGGGCTACAGTATTAACGAGCTCAAAGTGGATTTGGGTGAGAATGTTAAAGTATTTAATATACTATATAAAAAAGTTAAAATTAATATTACAACCATATAAAAAAGTTAAAATTAATATTACAGCCTATATAGGTACATCGCACTGCTGGGCTCCGGCCTCCTCTCATTTTTGAGAGGGTTTTTTTGGAAAAGGAAATGTCCACCGCACCGCAATGTCTGTTGGGGAACTTCACATGTCTTAGTTGCTCACCATGTTTCCTTTCACCGCCGAGCACGTGGTAAATCAGCACTTAAAATTGTAATTAACAATTTCATTGTTGTCGGCGAGGATCGAACCCGGGTCGCTCGCGTACTGTGAAAGGGGGATGCCCACTGTTCATAGACACTTCGGCCATGGGTGCCCACATATAAAAGCATATGGAAATGATAATATGCAATTAAAATAATGAAATGATTAAGGAATTGGTTTAAAAAAAGTCGGGATTTTTATAATATAAAGCTTTTTATTTTCACAAATACAGCTTTTTAACGACTACTTTTACCAATTTTATTGCTTTTAATTTCTTTAACTTTTAATTCCCGACGCGTGATTTTTCTTTTGGAGGCCTATGCCAAAAGGCACACCGAACAGAGGGACTTACTTTAACTAGTATTACAATAGGAACTCAAACACAAATATTATGTAACCCCAAAGTTCGGAAATAAATACGTTTCAGGTGCTTTATAGTACCCATGGTCACGGGGTACTGAGGTGACTGCCATCCCAATGTCAGTATTGGGACATGGAGTACCTTCAGCTTTTTATTATTATTTTTATAGTCCAATCTACGCAGATTGAACTTACTCTATCTTTAAGTCTTGCGGTGGTATGCTTGGGGTTTGTTTTAATTTTATTAATTATAGTGTCCCAAGCAGGTGGCAGTACCCAACCGCCTTCTCTACTGAAATTAGGATGTTTTTTAATTTCAGTAGCCTCACATATCATCCTTGGTAGGAATTAATGTTCTTTAACGAGGATTTGTGGTCTATCAAATCTGATGTATGTCTATCTGGTTGGGGTGACACCCTTGACATACGGTAGTACAGCAGGCACACGCTCAACTGCGGTTGGCTTCACTCGGTCACTGTGACGAAGACGTGGGACCCGAAGCTTGATTTTGTGCAGAACCTGCTTGACGTGCTGAAGCTCCGCGGCCAGGTGCTTGTTCTCACAGATCCCATATGCTCTCTGTAACAAAGATTTGCTCATGGTAACTAACTGTGAAGGATTATGGTGAGATTCACCGCTTAAATATCAGTTTTTATGGGTCTTTTTTCTATACACAGTGTGACCTATGATGTTGTTAGGATTTTGGATAACAAAAACATCTAGGAAAGCTAAGAAATTATTTGCCTCAGATATAATATCATAATTACTGAATAGAATTTGGCACAGAGAGTGGTAACGATGGATAAAATTCATAGGAACAACATCCTGATTTAATATTTCTTGGGCCATATTCATGAGCCGCTCTAATTTGTTTCTTGGTACTTGCAATAATGCCTATATGCATTCATCACTATCTCCTGTTCTTACTTTTATCAAATATACAGCAAGTGCAAAGCATCCACTATGTTTACTTGACATTTTGGGCACTTCAGACAGAATTTATTGGGCATTGTGCCTTTGATAAGCGTAGATAATAATGTACAGTATATTCGGGCATATTGTAAATATTTTCAAAGTCTATATGATGGTAAATATTATCTTACAATAATGTAGAAAAATCTATAATTTGTGCTACACTAAATGTTTTAATATGGTTATATATTAATTCTAAAAGTAAATACCAAGAGTTACTATTTAAATGGTAGTTACTGATTCTACATTCTGGAGGTACATAGTAATTGTATTCACAAAAATACATACCCGCAATGCTGATGGAACAGTGAGATGATTGGAATTGTTACAACCAGGAAAAAACATTGATTTTGTGTGAGTGGTGCTCTTACAAAATTAGGCAGCAGTATATTGTATGATGTATGATCTAAGCTTTGTTGTTCTAGGTTCAATACATTACTCACTTTAGATTGCTACAAGGATGGACTAGATGATTCAGATGGTTCCCGTTCTAAAGTTTAACGTGTTGCTGCTTTATCAATCCTTCGCAATCATGACACTCACGCGATGACGATGGCAACTGAAATAATATTAAATAAAAAAAATAAGACAAAGTGAACAAAATAAAATAGATTTGTTTACTTTAAACTCAAATATAGGTAAATGTTACTTAAAACTTAATGCCCTATATTATTTAATAATTAAGGACTGACTGCCTACCAGTAGTCCAAAAACAATTAAAAATCGACTGTCTTATTTCTTGGTATTTGATAAAAATTGTCCATTTCGTAACTATCTGGTGTTAGCTAGCTAATCTTATCGCCGTGTTACAAATAAGCTATTTTGTTTGTCAGGTATAGCTTGTGCATATGTTAAAAAATAAAACAACTTCATCATTTCATACATTCATCACTATCAAATATCAGCACTAGAATTAATAAATTAAAAACTGTTGAACACTTACTTTTAACTGTTGTCACACTATAATGTGATCGACAATCTCACTCCATATGAGTTCTTGAGAATTTATTTGAAAAATAACAAACAAAATAACACAATGGGTGCGTTTGGCAGAAAAAAGCGCTAGCAAGCGCTTGTAAGCAAAATGGCGATCGTAAGCGGTAAGCGCTGTCAAATCGTAAGTAGCTATTTTCCTCTAGGACACGATGTTAGTTTTAACCGGGGAACCTAACCTAATTTAAATATATGTTTGTAAAGTATACATATTAAAAACTTACCAATCATGAATTTTAATAACATGTATATGTTTATTGATGTCATTATATTACTTAAAACTAATATTGCACAAAATAACTTATAAACTCTACTTCAAAACAAATAAATTAAATAAGCAAAATGGCGGATTGTGTCAGCGCTACTGAAGTAGCAATCGTGTCCTGGCCGAAAACTATTTCAGCGCTTATAAGCGCTTGCTAGCGCTTTTTTCTGCCAAACGCACCCAATGGCAACTATTTAGTTGTGAATTGACTAGTACCTTTTTACTTGTTGAATTGTGATTTCATTTCGCATGACATATTTCCTATAGCTGTCAGATTTGATGTTGCCACATAACTAACATAAATACAACGAAACGATATCGATTTGTATTCGATTAGTAATTTAATGAAAAAATAATAATATTTGAGTTTCGCTTTCAGTTCTTCGCGTTCACGCTTTTTAAAATATATTTTCTTTTATTTTTTTAAATTATGTTTTAAACGTATTTTTAAGAACAGTTAAAATGTGGAGTAGCGTATTGTTATGCTCTAAACAGTTCATGGTAAATCAGCTAAAAATTCACTTGTTTAATTATCATAACATGATTCCATTTTAAATGTATTGTTAAAACAGATAACAATAACTGTTAAATTGTGCAGTAGCATTTTATTGTACTCTAAAGAATTCATAGTAAATCAGCTAGTAATTCGCTTGTTTAATTATCATAACATCATAATATCCATAGCGATTCGATTATTATTCGATTAATAATTTCATAAAAAGAGAATAATCTTGGAGGTGTTTTAACTTCTGCTCGCTTTTTAAAATGTATCTTCCTTTTTTATTTAAATTCTATTTTAAGTGTATTTTTAAGAACAGTTAATTGTGCAGTAGTGTTTTATGAAGCTCTAAAAAATTCATGGTATATCAGCTAGAAATTCACTTGTTTAATTATCGTAACATGATTTCATTTTAAATGTATTGTTAACACACCCTAAGTAAAAAAAACATTAATTGTAATTTTGTATTATTATTAAAAAAGGTACATAATTATTCATTAATCAACAATTGTATATAATTATTCGCACTAGGTAAATCAGCCTTATAATACTAAAATCTTGGTCATGGAATAAATAAACATATTTGTTCACCAATCAATCAAAAATTCAATTCATCAATCAAAAATCAAAATTCATCATCATCGACGCTTTCCAAAATCCGAATGAGTTCTGAGGAATCGTTCATGTTGCATTGCTCTACTTTTCTTGGTAATCACTTATGACGTCATCAGGGTGTCGTCTATCCTTGATCACGGTGCCCAGTGAACTGATTTTCGATGACGCGCTAAAGATGCGCTAGAGTTGAGATATTAGATTTATTATGCGAAGATAATCTGATAACATTTTTTTATTCATGTAGCTAATTATAGTTTTATGTTTATAACCTTTAATTTTATTCAAATATCAATAATAATAGAAAAAAAACACCATTGAGCTGAATTTTGGATAGTTTTCAAGAAATCTATGCCTCCCGCGTTTGACACTAGCGGTCAACCATAGACGACTTTGGCGTGCTGGACATAGTATTTGCTTAGATAAAAATCCATTTTTATTAGTTCAATGTTTCTTAGTACTTGTGGCTCTAGAAGACTTGTTTTTTATACTCACATGTTGCTGGGTTATTCCTATTTTGAGGAGTGTAGAATTAAAATACCTGTAATAATTTTCCAATATCTATATTTCATATTTTTCGGAGCCGGGTTTTTTGTCAACTATAGACGTCGTTGGCGCTCAGGGCCCGCAGGTGTTGGTCAAGTATAGGCGACTTTGCCGCTCAAAAGGTTAAAGGATTCATGGTAAATCAGCTGGAAACTAACTTGTTTCGTTATCATAACATGATTCTATTTTAAATGTGTTGTTATAAACAGATAAGAATAACTTAACCGATCTCCTTTAAAAACAGATAAGAATAACAGTTCTTATCTGTTTTCAAAGAAGATCGGTTAAGATTAACAGTTAAATTGTGCCGTAGCATTTGTTACTCTCTAAAGAATTCATTAGAAATCAGCTAGTAATTCGCTTGTTTAATTATCGTAACATCATAATTATTTAAAAATTATATTAGCACTGTAATGATGACACCGTAAATAATCGATCGAAAAAGAGAATCGATTTTTTAAATGTGTTTTGTGATTGGCAACACTTTTTTTTTATTCACAAACTAATGACATAATGATTTACCTAATTTTTATTATTATGTTTCCGGTACTTTTAATTTGTGCAAAAATATTCCCATTGTTTGAGGATAAATGAATACCGCGATTAATAACCATAAATAAAGATATAATTTTTTAACAAATTCACATTGTTGGGCGTTCCATGGCCGAAAATGGGCGTCCCCCTTTGATCAGCGAGCGCTAACCATCTGAGCTACCACGGCTACTCTGAGTGACCATGGCTACTGTACTATATATAAAACCTATTATATAAAGTTTGATTTTTAGGATTTGATAATTTTTCTGTGCTAATGAATTAATATCCGTCTCACGGATATCGTAGTATCCTTTAACGACATTAACGATATTTCTGTTACAATATAGCAGAGGATGCTCAGAGGATAAAGCCTCGTCTTTAAATTTCATAGTATAACGTTTAGATAGCAGAGTCTACTAATAACGTCAAACGTAATTTTAATGTGCTCGGCGGTGAGTAAAATCTTCGTGAGGAAATGTGCATATCAGACGTAATATTTCCAGGACATGTAAAGATTTTTTATTTTTTTATTTTCAGTTCTGAGTACATAAAATATAAAATCAGAATCTGCCAAACTGTGAACACAGTTTGTCAGCAGTAGCTCTCGTGGATGACACATGTTTATGTACTACTTATATAAAGAACACAAAAAAGAAAATAAAATAAACAAAGCTTATTAACTACCTAAAGAGCACAAAAGAAAAATGTAAAAAGAAGTTAAATAATATTGATTTTTTAACCTGTACATTTACAACTATGGACATAGAGACAAGTAATGCTTTCTCAGAGTATTTTTTAAGTTATTTTTACCTTTTACGTTCTTCATTAAATCATGAGGTAGTTGGTTAACAAGTACGGACGTTAAGGCGTAAGATCCCAACGCACATTGAGTAGTGTCGGACTCTTTGCTATCCTAAAAACCTTACAATCAGAAGAGGCTCGTGCCCAGTAGTGGATACTTAATGATAGTGCTTTATAGATAGGAGATGTTTCTATTTGTGAAATATACATAATAATAATAATAATGTCCTCCAGACCGAATTTAGGCCACGGCGGCCTGCCTCAACGGAGGCTAGCCATCGGCGCAGGACAGGATTATAGTGCCCAAGTGCATGCGTAAGCACAGGTGCACTCTCTATTCCTTCACTCTCATAATCCGATGGGACGGTAAATCGACACGACCGGAGAGAGATCAGGCTCAGGACCAACGGCTTTACGTGCTTTCCGAGGCACGGGGGTGAGACTCCGCCAACTTCCTGACTCCGGGCATCTACTGATATATATATATATATATATATATATATATATATATATATATATATATATATATATATATATATATATATATATATATATATATAAATGTGTGTATTGTATATACATTTCCAACCATAATATTTTTTACGTACAGCCGGCCTTTACATAAAGGCGGGTCTCAAAAACATAGGCAACGTGTTCCTTATGACCGACGCGCAAGTGGCCGATGAACGTTTCCTCGTACTTATCAACGACTTACTCGCTTCCGGCGAAATTCCCGATCTCCTCCCTGATGAGGAAATGGAGAACGTTATAAATGGAGTGCGCGGAGAGGTGAGCTGAATGTTATTCACTAATGATGATTTTTTATTACGCTTAATTACCTAATTGCTTAAACATTAAAAACTGTACAAATAAATATTAAGATTATAACCAGATACATTTTCTTTAAAATACATAATGCCAGGAATGTTATAAAAGATAACATGGAAATTCAAAATCGTTTTATGTTGTATATTGTGAATGTTCGGGGGGAGGGGGCATTTTTAGCCTCGCAATGCTGCTTGGACACAGAAATTACTAAGACGGTGTTACAGTGTTGTTGGTTACAACTTTTTACAAATGAGAATCCCCTAACGGGTTATGGTAGCCACACACGATCAGTTCAACTGATCATTCGAACTGATCAGTTCAAACTAAAACTATTGATGTTTTTTAAAATATCGGATTTTCAATACCTACGTCTATAAATAAACTTATATGTAAAACTCCGATATTAATATATTTATAATGATCGATTTATCGAAAATCCACTATTTTAAAAGATATCAACAGTTTTAGTTTGAACTGATCAGTTGGAATGATCAGTTAAACTGACCGTGTGTGGCCACCATTAGACGCGCGTCTTCAGACACCATATTCAGGGTTATTTTTCAAAGAGTAGCCAAATTTAAAACTTAAGTTCAAATATATAAATAATGATATATCGTTATTACAGTATTTGATAATATAAGTAAATACGGCTTCTACTTTTATTTGAAATTATCTCAAATTGAATGTGATTTATGAGCAACAATTTTTTTTGCCTACCTATCGACCAGCGAATTTACGAATTTGTGCGTGCGCAGTAAAATAACCCGATATGTGACATTTTAAATAATGCATCACCACGCATTTCGAATTTATATGATAAAAAGGACAGAATGTTTGAGATTTTCCTAATTAACTTTTCTTCACCATTTACCTATATTACTTATTCTGAACCGTCTCTGCAAATTTGGCCGGTTAATGAAAAATAACCCTATATATCTTTTATTATTTGCACTGCTATACTACACCCCGAAAATTATAAAAATTTGTATTTATTTCAGGATCACCACTTTACTACTTTATTGGTGGTTATATATCCAATAATGCGTGTTCTATTGTGTAACTATGGATGTAGCGAGTTATATAATAAATAATATATGGCGTTCAAGTATGCGCGTCTAACCCGCTCGGGCGCTACTAATTTATTTATAGAATATGGCTGACAAACGAGCACACGGTCCACCTGATGATAAGTGGATACTGTGGCCCATAGACATTACATTTATCCTCGATAGTGAATCAAAATGTAGATGCATTGTCACCCATAAGGACTGATATGGAATACCTCATTTCCAGTAAAAGGGTGTGGTTCTCTACATACCATACGAAACGTTGGTATTCTGTGAGAGCCTGGTCCAACCCCGGTCGTGCCCACCCATTCGTGCTACAATGATAATATAGCTGCAGCGTAGCTCTACCACTTGTACTTTACAATTGCTTATTCCATCGCTACAATACACAACCATAATATATAATTATTAGGTAATGTATCGCTATAGTACCTGCCCAGACAGATTCCTAGGTAGAAAAGAAGTCTTACCACCGGATACCAGCGAGACGTCTGGTACTACGACCGTCAAATTCTCATGCCAAGCGTGAGATAAAGGCAAATCCCAGCTACTACGCGAGAGGCCCACGCCCAGCTGTGTATCTTTACAGGATAATGCTATTTTAGATGATTTATTTTACTGTTGTAATTGCAAAACAGTAATGGCAATTTGATGAGATGTTATTGTAAAAAAATATAACGATCATGTGCCAGTCAATAATTTTCATCGTCGTATTTTTTCATAAATTTGTATATTATGTTTTTTTCATAACGTTGTCATAATTTTGGAAATGAGTTTTCTTATGACTTCAAACAGACAAAAGCTACCGGTGTTCAAGACACACGTGAGAACTGTTGGAAATTCTTCATAAATCGCGTGCGAACTATGTTGAAGGTATTTATGAACTCTTGTTTAGTTACTATATTAGGTAACTGGTTTCTCTTGTTTGTAGAAAAATTGATGCATTGCAAAGATAGGAAAATAATAATGGCCAACAGATGGCGGTATGATCCTTTTACAAATGATGTACATAGATACTTAAGATGTACAGATCGGCCACAGGAAAAAGGATTTGAGTGCCAAGTCAGATGATACTAATATATCTAAATATACTAAGCGCTGCTATCTCAGCAAATCCGGTTTATTGCTAAAAGCTTAAATATCTGAGATGGCGTTAACACCGATACCCGAATTGAATTACACGAAAAATGTATAAATTGGCCATAGTAGTTCAGGCTTAAGTCTAAAACTTCGTTTAAGGTAAGTAAACAACAAGTAAAGTAAGTCGAGCTCGTGGAAGACAAGTAAATAGAGTTCAAATTCCGGTATTGTTTAATTTTTTTTAAAGTATCGACTACCAAACAGTTTTAACACTCTGAGCACTGAAGGAAATGATTGTAGGAAACCTGCATACTTTCAAAAATGATATGTCTAGAGTATCTACTGCATAATATGAAGATATTCTATATTTAGCCACAATGATTTCTTATATTTACGCGAACACTATACATTGATTAAGCAACTACTTTTACGGATTTTATCGCGTTTTATTTATCCGCAGGCATTAATTTTAATACCCGACGTTTCGGGTGCAGTCCCCCGGTGACCATGGGTGCTGGTATGCAGTAAGGCATAAGTATGTCAACCACCCGAAACGTCGGGTATTAAAATTAATATAAATAAAACACCATGGGAAGAATCCGTAAAAGTAGTTTTAATCAATATTCTCTATTGCCACACCTATGTAAGGCATTGCATGTCACCACACCATGGGTTGACTGGTAGAGAATGCCTCATGGCATTAAGTCCGCCCTTGTATTCTTATATATCAATAAGGAATGCAATAAAGAATAAATAATGATTTCTCTCGTAATGCATCCTACTGATAGACGGACGAGTTTCTGGCGGCCGGCTAATAAGTTAATCGACCAACGGACTGTTTGTTAATTAAATTTTGATCATTAATACCTTTTCTGCCAAAAATAATATAATTATTTTCACAAAATTAAACAGAGTGAATAGCCATTACTGCAAGTACTATGAGTAAACGTGTAATGGCGGTTTAGGAATATCCACTACCAAATCTTCCCGTGGATTCTGCTGGCATCCTCTCGACAACAACTCAAAACTATTTAAAAAAAAACTTCGGTTGCCAATCCGCCTGCCGAGCGTGGCAACTATGACAACCCTCTGTGGGGAAACTTATGATCAGCAGTGGACTTTTATATAGTGGAATGATGATGCTCATCTGCTGTTTTATTTCCCTCTGACGCCTCTTAAGACACTCACGAGAGTACTGGATGCTTTAACGACGTTTCTACACGGCGATGTTAAATATACTGGGATGACCTTTTTGTGAACGGAGTAGAAGCCTATGGCACTGATATTTTTCAAAAAATAAAAACAAAAATTTCGAATTAAATAAATAAATAAATTAAAATCCATCGAAATTCAAATAATATCCACCCTACTTTACGAACGGCAATAAAACAATAAATTTAGTAGGCAATCTTTGACCTCGTCACTTCGCTGGGTCACAGGCTAGGGTGGATATGATTTGAATTTCGATAGATTTTAATTTGTGTATTTATTAATTTCAAAATTTTTGTTTTATTTTTTGTAAACAATAAGCGCCCACAGGCTTCTATTCCGTAACATGTTACATCCTATTTTTTTCTAGATGGTAAAAAGGTTATCCAGTATAAATATACTTGCGGTTAAGTTCTCTTCAAAACAGTAAGTACACTAGTGATATGTGCTCGTGTGCGTGCGCACAGGTGGTGCTGTGCTTCTCGCCGGTAGGCGCGACGCTGCGCGTGCGCGCGCGCAAGTTCCCGTCCATCGTGAACTGCACCGCCATCAACTGGTTCCACGAGTGGCCGCAGGACGCCCTACGCTCCGTCTCCAAGCGGTTCATCGCAGAAGTCCGCTCCTTGCCGGTCACGTGTCCTTTTCTATTTTTAAAAGTGTTTGGTGCTTGTTAAATTTATATATTTCAATATTACTGTGTGCATAACGTGCCTATGAAAAAGAAGAATTAGATTCTTCTCTATTTCATTCCTCTCTTAGAAATAATTGGGGGTTTGGGGACGAATACTGGAAATCTAGCATTCAAATATTCAGTGAGATATTTGAATCCCAGATTTCCGGTGTGTTCAAAATGTTTATTATATAAACTCTGAAAGTATATTTAATACGTGGTAGAGCCACGCTGCAGCTATATTATGGTTGTAGCACGAATGGGTCGGCTCGACCGGGGAAGGACCACGCTCTCACAAAATACCACCGTAAAATAGCAGCTTAATACTGCTGTGTTATGTATGGTGAGTGTAGAGATCCGGAGACCCTTTTTACTGGAAACGAGGCTTTCCACCTTAGTCCTCAGGGGTGACAACGCATCTTCGTTTTTATTCTTAATCGAGAATAGAATAAGTGTAAATGTTTATAGGCCACAGAATCCACTTACCATCAGGTGGACTATGTGCTCGTTTGTCACCCTTATTCTATAAAAAAAGTAATAACAGGCAAAGTGAATCCCAGTATTACCTACATTATTATGTATTGTATTGTTATGAAACAAAGTATAAAAACAATTAGTCGATTATGCAATCCATCATACAGTCGAAGCTCGTGGAGCCGGTGTCAGTGTTCATGTCCCACGTGCACGAGAGTGTGAACAAGATGTCAACGGTGTATTACCAAAATGAACGCCGCTACAACTACACCACGCCCAAGACCTTCCTCGAGCAGATCGCGCTGTACGGGAAGCTGCTCGACGAGAAGACCGACGAGCTCAACATGATGATCATGAGGCTCGAAAACGGCCTCGACAAGTTGGCCTCTTGCGCCGCTGATGTTGAGGTTCTGAAGGTACGAATATACTGTGGGAAGTTATCAAATGCGCAGGATTTATACGTTAATATG